TCACTTAAAAAATAAAAATTAAGTGGAGCACAACACAGCAGATAAAATTTGGGTTATAAAACCAACACCATACAGCTGGAAACGTCCCTACATTGTTAAATATTTGCCCCAAAGTCTTGTGCAACCATTAAAGCATCTATATGAAGACGGTTTGGGGTAATCCGGGACATTTTGGTGCTGGAGAATTACACCAGAGGAAGCCACCAGAATTGAAATTGGAGGGCTTGGGTCGTCAGGGCTTTGTCGTGGCCAACCCTGTGCATGTCCGTGTGCCCTCTGCAAGGGAAGAGGTTGTCCTCGTGGCGTTGTAAAGGGCTGGGGGATGCACTCACGGAATTCGGGCAGGTTTTGTGTTGGAAGGACTGCAAAGTGTGGTTTGTTTTTGCACAGCGCTTTAAGATCCTGGCAGAGAAGTGAAAGGCGATGAGAAAACACGTGGCTCTGCAGTGCTGCTTTGTAGCTCTGGGAAGAAACTTTCCCGTGTGCCGGTGCTTCTCCCCGACACCTCTCACCTTCTTTCTTGTTGGTTTCCTTTTTTTTTAAACAAAACTCAACCTCCCCGTTCCCGCAGAGGCTTCATTTCTCATCCTCGTACTTGATCTTCCACATCAGAGAAGCGCTGCTGCTGCAGCCACGCAGCCCTCGCTCTGCCCATGCAGATGACAAATTAATCTAACATTTCACGTCCCAGAAATACTCCCTATTTCTCCCTTCCCTTTTGTTCTCGCCGTTGCTGTGCTTCTCCAGCGGTGAGGCTGGCCTCCCCGGGGAAGCTCCGTTTTCTTCCCGGAGAGACCGCAGCGAGTCCAAGGGCAGCGAAAAATGGGATCTGATTTTCTTGCTGGCTTCGTGATTTTCATTTAGGATTCAGCGAACGCGAGAGCCATCTGCTCTGTATGAAATATCCAATAATAGTTCTCCAGTTGCTGAATTCGAAGTGGAGACAAGCCAGGGAGGGAGGCAGAGCGCCTGGCTTGCCTCAAAGCTCCTCTGCAAGCACACGCAGCCGTGGCTTTGCCACCTGATTGCAGCGGCGTTGCCAAGAGGATGGGCGACTTGAAGACGGGACTGGGGGTCAGAGGAACAGGACTTTCAGTTTTCCCCCTCTTAGTACTGCTTTGTTTAGTGGGTGCATGGTGGCATGGTGCCCTACAAGCCCTAAAATCGCAGTGTTTGCTCGCAGAAGTGCTGCTTCTCCGCCCCTGGAGCCAACCAGGTGATCTTTAAGGTCCTCTCCAACCCAAACCGTTCCAGGACTCCAGGATTACCTACGTTATGAAACCTTCTGGCACTGGGAACAGGTTCAGGTGCTAAAACCTCCTCCCTAAGATCCAAGTCGATGCACGACGAGAGATACAGAAATCCCGGCAGCAGGAAGCTCCGTGTACAAAAGCCATTTTCAGCTTTTCCTGCCCAAATCCTCTTCGTTTCCCTGCAGCTAACGGCAGTGCAGCACACGCGGCGTTTCCGAGTCCAGCGCATGGATCTGCTCTTTGCCTTGTGCCATTTTCACTGAGTTTTGCTGCTTTGCTTCAAGTTCCTCGATTTCCCTTCCTTCCATTGAAGCGAACACTGCGTTACCTGCAGAATTACCTGGAGGTGCTGATATTGAAGGTCTCGGTTTAGTGCTGCCAGGCTGCACAAGTGGGAAAAAATCAAAGCTTCGCCCAAGCTGCTCTTTGGGACCATCTACATTTAACATCATCAGTCTGGGACCATCTCTGCTGCTCGGCAGACCTCACCCAGACAGGATTTTAGCATTTATTAATGCAAAACTCACAAGTAGGGGTGCTGTGCTGATAGAAAAGGCTCTGTACTGATGTGATTTCGGCTCATCAGCCAACCTATATTAGTAAGATCTCCAGGAGCTCGTACTTCACAAGTCAGTGCTCTCAGCATCACACAGATCACACACCTTGACGTTTTCCTAAGACAAGGGGCTGAGTGTCTTTGGGTTTTACAGCCCAGGTATATTTGCTGCAGGTGGGTGTTTGTAAAATGCTTAAAAAATGCCCAAATCCCTCAGGATTTGGCTGCCCAAATCCCTCAGCCTTGGCTGCCTCCACAGGGTTGGTGTGGGGGGATGGCAAGCGGACAGCACGACCTCAGAGCAACCCTAACGGGGGAATTTCCACTGGGTTCGGGGAGTTTGTTCCTCGAGGGGGTAAAAAACCGGCTGGGGGCTGCGTGTTAAGTGGTGGGAGACAAAGAGAATGGCAGCCCTTTCACATCACCTAACGAATATTATGGTTAAAGGAGGCGAGAGGGGTCAGCACAACTCCTTTTTCCTTATCCCAGGCTTTCGGGATGCTCCTTGGGGCCCTAAGAAGAAAGACAGATGCGTAATGTCCTGATTTGCCCTCACAACCTGGTGTAGAAAGGGCATTTTATTTACCTTTCCCATAAGGATGTGGTGAGGGCAAGAGGTTTCGATCCAGATGCAGAAAAAAAGTGTGAAGTGTCACTATCAATGAATTCCCCTCTTCTAACAGCAAGTTTTAAATGAGAATTAGATGTGAGAAGGCGCCACTCCCACTATTAATTTCTTCTCTGCGCTGTTCCCTTTCCTCTTTTATTCCGCCTCATTTTCAGTCCCTTGCCAACGGATCCTTGGCAGCTCTCATAAAGGCAATTATCATTTTTAGCGAGGTTTTTTGCAGGATTATTTCTTGATTCTGGAGCCTCTTTCGCCCCGCGCTGCCCTCCAGCCTGCCCCAGCTCTGCCAGCCGCATCGCGTGCCCCGTGGCGCTGCTGGGGCTCGGAAAAACCTGGAAACTTGGAAAATTTGGAAAGCCCGGGGGTGTTTGTGATTGTTGGGGGCTTGGAAGCGACCTGAGGCATCGCTTGTGGATGCTGCGTGCCCCGGCTGCACGCCGTGTTCAAGGCTCCCAGCAGGCACCTCTGTACCCAGCTGCTGAGCAAAAATCCCCTCCCCGTTCCCATTTTTCCGTTGCAAAAAGGCCTGGAAATAGGGATATAAGAGTGAAAAGTCGAGACCCTTTGGGATTCCCTTCTCCGGGAGGCTCCAGAGCCGGGTGGGATGCTGAGCTCCGGCGCCACCGACGGGGATGCGCTCGCTGCGTGCCTCGGCGACGCTGCAGCTGTTCCTAATTGGGCCACATGTGCCTCATCCCTCCCCAAAAACCAGCCTGCTGTGTGGCTCTGCCTCCCTCTTTCTCCTCTTCCTCCTCCTCTTCCTCCTCCTGCTGTGATCTCGGAGCAGACGGAGCGGAGCCGAGCTGGCGTGGGACACCGAGGAGCGGGCGCAGCCGCTGCGACCCCGCTGCCGGGCTCGCTGTTCCTTTGGTGAGGACGGGGCTCCCTTCATCCTGCCGGGCGCTGCTGGTGCCATACAGCGCTGCATTTTTTCCACTTGAGATCAATACCGCAGCCCCACGGTCGCTTTTAACGGCCCTGCCGCCGTGGGGGCTTCCCCAGGCGGCGTTTGGAGAATGACACGAAGCGGTTCGGTGGCCCCAGCGCCGTGTCCACAGCCCTGGCACTTCTTTTCCCCTTTCCCCATGCCATCATCTCATCCTCCATGCCATCATCTCGTCCTCCGTGCCATCATCTCGTCCCCTATGCCATCCTTTCGTCCTCCGTGCCATCCTCTTGGGGCAGGAGTCCTGCCAACAGTTTATTTTATTACATTCCGCCGTGCAAAAAAAAAAAAATAAAAAGCTCTTGGCAAGAAATCTGACCACTCGGAACTTATTTGTTGCTCTTTTTTTTTTTCTGCTTTAACAATTCTGCATTGTTTGGGGCTGTTGCGCTCCCTCGGAGTCTCAGGTTTCGTGCATTCATTTGCTCTTGTCTTGTCAGAGCTGTCTGCCTGGCTCCTCGCACGCACGCTCTCCAGTCTCCAAGCCATTCTTTTTCACTTTACGCCCCTCTGCTGCCAGCTCCAGCTCGCTTTAAGCATGCTGTGGATTTGGTTTCTGCACTTTGGCTTCCCAAAAAAGGGAGGGAAATGCTTAAATATGCCACCTGGGGGGCAAAACTCCCGGCCAGTTTTGCGATGGCTCCTGAACACTGAACGAACCTGAAGGAGCCGGGGTTGTGGCTGGGCTCTGCTCTCAGTTACGCATGCGAAAATCCGGATCACATCCCCAGCAGCACGAAGAAGCACCAATTCCTGCTGATTCCTGCTGATTCTTGCTGATTCCTGATGATTTCTGATTATTTCTGCTGCTCAAAACGAGAGCAGAGCTCGGATTTTGCCCCTTGGTTTCACACAGCAGTGAATTACACGCACAAACATCTTCCTGCCCGCAGGAACGCTCAGCATCCTCGTTCCCACGAGTGCAGGGGACGATGCCCCAAACCAGGGAAGCGTTTCCCTTGCTGGTGGGGATGTGGCCATCGGGTTTTGCTCCAGTTCCCCCAACGCAGTGAGACTGGCCATAAAACACGGTGGGAATTTCTCTGTCGTGGTCCAATCGATGCTGCTCCCAGGTGATGGGCAACCCCACTCTCTGCTCTTCTCGGCTAGAAAACACCTCACATAAAACCATCAGGCTGTCGCACAGGATCTTTACTACTTGGTCTCGGTCTTTTTGGAATACTTTTTTTCATTTTTTCCTACCAAAAACCATCAGCACCCATTCATCTGTTATTGATCAGCATCTTTCTGAGCAGAGCGCTGCTGCGCAAGGGGCTCAGCAGCTTGCTTCTCCTCCTGGTTCTGCCCTGAACAGCTCTGCCGTGGGCTTCCTGCAGACCATGGCTTAAAAATCCCAAAATTTTCAGCATTTTTGTGCCCCTTTGCATTTGGAGATGCAGTTAAGGACGTTATGGAGACCAGCAGCTGGTGGTGGAGCCAAGCTTCCTGCTCTTCCCAGCCCTTCATCTGGGCACAAATACTCCTCCTGTCCCTAACTGGGAGGATTCAGTGGCATTTATCCCCAAATTCTCTGATGCTTGGGATATCTGCAGAGGGAAAAGAAAGATCCTGTAGGAAAAATATAAGATCTGATGGCCTGGCGTTCACTTGCCTGCCTTTTCTGCGTGTCTGAAGTTTTCTGAGAGCAGCCTCGTTTGAAATTCTCCTTAACTCAACCCTGTTCAATTCCAATCCATTTGCTGCGTGGTTCATTCAGCTTTCAATTATTCACACGTTTAATCACTGCGTTTTAGTGCCCAGCGTGGTGAGGACCTGAAAGTCAGAAAGTAACCGGCTGTGTTAGAACTATTTAAATTTTGGCATTTAAAAGCAGAAGCAAACCCATGGGTTCCTTCTGAATTTGCAGCACCAAAAGGGAGGACTTGCACGCGCCTCGTGTCGACCCAAAGCAAAGGAAGGAGCCTGAAAATGTCTCATTCACAGTACCAGAACCCGTGTGTGTGTGTGTGTGCAGGTGGGCTTGTGTTTAAAGAAAAAAGGAAACATAGAAATATCTGTGTTGTATGTGTGTATCGTCGGTCAGAAATGGCCAAAGAAAAGGTGCAAAAATCAAACTGTCCTTGCCATATATGGTGCCTCGTAAAATTCTGTTAAAATCTATGAAATAAATAAGGTTGTGTGAAATAAATGCAAGTTCTGTTAAATGCTGCAGGAAGAAACCCCTGAAACCACAATCTGGGCCCATGGAATTAACGAGGGAAGGACTGTGAGGATGCAGCGGGCTGTTGTCCCCGTGCTGCAGGGGCTGGGTTCCGGGTTGCTCGCAGCAAAACCTCCCCTTAGAGGGGAAAAGAGAGAAAAAATTGAGCTTTTTGACGGTTTTAAATGCAGGTGAGCAGCTCTCGGGCACGCTGCTTTTAAGGTAACCCCATACAAAAGCCGTAAGAGTGGAAATGGGGAGGAGGAGACCCGGCCACGTGGCCCGGCAGCGCCGCGCAGAACGCCGCCTCCGTTTCTGGGCCTCGTGGAAAATTTTAAAAGTCATGAAATTTTTAAGTAAGGACGTCAGAATGGCACATCAGCTCCCGAGGGCTTAAAATAGGGCGACAAATGACTGCCGGAGACGCGTGGCTTAATTACCAGAGGCAGCAGGCCGGGATCGTCAAGTGTCACCGCTTCTCCTGGGTCTGGAGGGTGCAGGACGGGGCTCAGGGTGCCAAAATCTTTGGGCTGCTTTTCCACCCCGAGATGCTCGGGGTTGGAAGGAGCTGGCGAGGAGGCAGTGATGTCTGCAGGTGGGATGGCTCCGTGTCTTCTCCAGGTGTTTTTCTTGCACGAAGCACTTCGTCTTCCCCTCCTACCGCATCTTTCGCAGCCTGGTTTCTGTAAGAGCAATATTTCGGTGGGTTTTTAGCACCCCTGAGCTCCCTCAGCCCGTCGCTTGCCCAAATTCTAGAGAAATTCTAGTAGTTTAAGTCCTACCCATTTCCAGAACCAGGCGGAGAAGCTGCGGTTTCACAAAGAGCTTTTGTAAAGCAATTTGGCAGCGAGGAGGCTTCGCCCACATGGGAATCGCCCGTCAAGCGCTTGGCTGAAAATCGCAGATTTGCACCCAAAAATGGCCCCGGGAAGGAGTCAGGGATGAACTCCTGGGTCGTGCTGCCCTCTGCAGAACACGCGGGCGCCGTCCAGGCGGGCTCGCAAGGAGCAAAATGTCCCTGGTGCTGCTGGGGGCGATGTAAAAGGGTTTTGGGGGCTGCCCCAGCCCAACGGCGCAGGGGGCTGGATGCGAGCCCGTGGCCAAAAAGTTTTTTGTTTTTTTTTGGAGCCGGGCTGCGTTGGCTTGTCCAGAGCTTTGGGTTGGGTTTTGGGGCTCTCCCGTGGGAGGACGGGGGTGAGGGAGAACCACAGAGGGTGAAAATACCCATCTTTTTCCCTGATTTGATGCCATTATGTGCTATGGGGTTGAATAGGAGGGAAGGGAAGGGATCCGGGATGGAGGAGGGTCCGCAGTGACCAAATCCAGGACATTTTGGGATCCAGGAAGGACAGGGCCCACAGCACTTGGGGTGGGGGCTCAGGACCCTTTTGGGGTGCCGGTTTAGGGTCTGGGGGCTCCCAGTGCACACCCACAGCAGCTGACAGCGTGTAGTGGGGCCGGGCGAGGCGCAGGAGGCCAACAGGGCGCGGCGGGTGCCACCCACAGCTCCCGGCCAAAGTTGAGCCGAGCGAGCAGCCGGCGACACCCGCGGCACCCCGGGGGTCCCACAGCACCCAGGTGAGCAGATTTGCACCCCCGGGGGGAAGCACGGGGGGTGTCCAAAGCTTTGGGGTGCCCCAGGTTGGGTTATGGGGGGCTGAAGGCATTTTAGGGTCGAGCCCGGCACGCAGCTGGGGAAATTGAGGTAAGGTGGGAGGTGGCGGGCACCCCTGGGTGCCCCAGGGTGAGGCTGGAGGGATAATTTGGGGTGCCCCCCTCCCCACTTTGGGCACGGGGGGGGCAGGACGGCGCTGCCAGCACCCAGGAAGGGCTGGGGCAGGGCTGGCAGAGCGGGCTCAGCCTGTTCGGCAGCTCCCGGCCCCATTTGTTGGGCTCCCATCCCAAAAACTTCCCTGCTGGGGGGGCCCCGAGTGAATGCTGGGCAAGGCTGCAGTGGGATGTGGGGCTGGGATTTGGGGGAGGATGGAAATGGGGTCGATAGAGAGGGAGGGGAAGCCTTGTGGGGTTGGAGGAGCCCTGCAGGGGCGCAGTGGGGATGCAAAAGGGGATGCAGCCCCTTCTCCAACCCATTTTTCCCCCCCGTTTATCATTGTAAAGGGGAGAGCAGCCCCCAAATGTGGGATTTTGGGGCAAAACCGAAAGCTGTGGGGCGAGCCGGGGTGTGCCAGCAAGCCGGGACAGGGCACGGCTTCCTGGAGCCCGAGGGCAGCCGGGTGGCAGCGCTGGGTGTCCCCAACCCACCCCAAATCCTCCACGGGCCGAGCCAGTGGGGATAGGAGGATGGAAATCCTACAAAAAAAATACAGGAAATACTTGGGGGGTGCTCCCCACCCCGTAAGCACCCCCAGACCCCAAAGCCAAGCCTGACCTGTGCTCCTCGTCCCCCTCAGCTCCTCTTCCATGGCCCCGCTGTCACCGTGGGGTTTGGCCATCGCTGTCCCCGGGGGGCTGCTGCTGCTGCTGCTCCTCTGCTCCTTTTTCCCCAGGTAGGTGCCTCGGGGAAGGATTTTGGGAAGCCTGTTATAAACCCATCCATTTAAACCTCCCACCCCGTACCCAAATCCCTCCCGAAGCGGTGAGGAGTTGGTTGTCCCCCTTTTTTTTTTTTTTTTTGGCCCGGGGTGGCCCCGACGGTGGCCACGGGGCCGTTGATGGTGGCCACATCCTTCCGCAGGGCGAGCGGGCGCTGCTCCAGCCGGGCCACCGGGACAACGGAGCCGAACCCCGGGGTGCTGAGCGTGGTGAGGCCCTGGGGGGGGCTTTGCTGTGACCCCCTCGTCCCCTCCGTGTCCCCTTTGTCCCCTCTGTGTCCCCTGTGTCCCCTTGTCCCATCCCCAAGCTCCGGTGACAACCCGTCCCCTCCATCCCTGGAGGAGAGAGCAGGCTGGCCAAAGGGACAGCGCCTCGTTCCCAGCCTCCTCGCGGCCCCAATGGACCAAAATCTCCTCTTTTTTCCCCCAAAACGAAGGGTTGTTCGCAGGCGTCGCGGCCCGGTGTCGCTGTCGCTGTCCCCGCTGCTGTCACACGGGCTTGGACAGCCCCCCAGCGACAGCTCGGGGAACGGCCCCCACATCCACCCCCCCCACACCCCCCTCCCCATAAAAAAAAACACCAAAAACCCCAAAAAAGCATCAGGGGGACCCGGGTGGGGACAGCAGCATCCCCCAGGGGGGGACCCGGCTTCATGGGGGGGTCAGAGAGGAGAGGTGAGGGGGGGACTGAGCCCAGCGCACCCCAAAAATAAGGAGCAGGGGGGTGTGGGGATGGGGGGCTGTGGGGTGGGGGCACAAGGGGGCACAAGGGGGCGGGGGTGGATGGACCCCTCCACGGTCCCGAGACCCGCAGAGAGCCCCAAAAGAGCGGGCACGAGTGGTGTGGGCATGAAACGAGTTTTTTTGGGGGGGATGCACAAATGTTGGGGGGGGTAAAAGCGTCGTGGGGGGGTGCACGAGTGCAAGGGGGGATGCAAAAGGGTCTGGGGGGGTGCACGAGGGTCTGGGGGGGTGCACGAGGGTCTGGGGGGGGTGCACGAGTGCCCGTTTGTTTCTGCTGCAGGTGAAGCTGCCCGAGCCAGGTCCCAGCGAGGGGGGAGCAGCAGTGGCAGCAGGTAGGGCACGGCGTGGGGACAAGGACAGGGCAGGGGACAGGCGGCCGTGGCTTTCTGCCACCCCCCCCGTGCTCCTTTAGGGTGTGGGGGGGGATCCTGGGGGTGCAGCCCCTCACGTTTGGGGAGTTTGGGATCGAGCTGAGCGTGCACGCTGCGCCCCGGGGGTTGAAGGTGAGGCGGGCGCTGGGCCGTTAATGATTTTAATGATTTACTCACTTGATGAACTTGGAGGAGCCCCAGGGATCCCGCGGGACTTTGAGCCGGCCGCCGGCCCCGCGCAGCTCCCAAAAATTTCACCCCGCTGGCAAAACCCTCCAGGAGGTGCCCGTTCCTCCCCCGGGGGTTGTTTTTCAGCGTCGTTCTGCATAGGAAAAAAAGGAAAAACATTAAAATAAAAATGTGAAAAGTTCCAAGGGGAAAAATCAGATCCCCAGGGCCTGGGCACCCTTCGCAGCACCCCAGGCAGCTCCTGGGCCTTGTGGGGATGGGGTCACAGCAGGCAGCATCCCAGGACCCCATTCCCACCCCTCCTGGCTGTGTTTCCCCTGTTTCGTTGGTGTAGGGTGGAGAAGGGAAACCCCAAATGCGATGCCCTGGTCTGTTGGGGTGCGCAGGATGGGTGCTCACATCGGGGTGCCCCCATTGAGATGTTCACATTGGGGTACCCACTTTGGGGTGCTCATATTAGGATGCTCATTTTGGGGTGTTCACTTTAGGATGCTCACTTTGGGGCACTTATTTTGGGATTTTATTGGAGTGCTCACACTGGGATTGCTCACACTGGGATTGCCCCATTGGGATGCCCAAACTGGGGGTGTCCCTATGGGGGCGCCCCCCTTGGGATGCTCCCATTGGGGTTTCCCCCTTGGGATGCTCACGGGGCACCAGGACACCGAGGCACCGGCCTGGATCCGACCCTACAACACAACCCAGCCCCGAATCCTGCCCTGCACCTCTCCACCCCCACCGGGGTCCCGCTCCCCAAACCCCACGTCCCTACAGCTTGAAAGCAGGAAGAGAAACACCAACTCACGTGCACCAAAACATCTCCCAGAGCCTCCTTCTCCTTTCGAGCGAACCACGGGGCTCGGCGCCGCGCTCTGCCAGCTCCAGCTGCTGCCAGCTCGGAGCCTCCTGCTAAAATAAATATTTGAGAGGCGCAGGAAGGCGGCTCCGGGCACCCCACAGCCCCCATCAGCAGCCCCGGGACGCTCGCCTGGGTTTGCCTTTGCTTTCTGTTTCAGCTCTTGTAAAAAAGCAAAGAGCTGGGGGGGGAAATATGGGTGTTGGCATGCGGGGGAAACCCCTCCAGAGTTCTCATTTCGTCACGTTTAATCGTTAATATTTTATCCCCAAATTAGTGGGGTGCCCCCTCGCTCAACCTCTCCCTCCCTACAGGCAGCAGGACAAATGGCACCGCTGGGGGGGACCCGGGTGGCCTCGGGGGGCCACCTCCCGGCTCCCCCACGAGGACCCCGGATTTTCTGCGGCACCGCCAGCTCCCGCTCGTCCCCGGGGAGCCCCAAACGCCCGCGGTGGAGCCGGCGGGGGAAGGCGAGGGGCCCATCTACGAAAGCATCCGCTACAAAGCCAGGAAGCTCAGCGGCATGCTGAGGAAGCCCTGCGGTGCCACGGGGGATTTTGGGGACGTTGAGGACATTGGGGACAACCCCTGTGGGGATTCTAGGGACATTGGGGACGACCCCAAGCAGGGTTTGCTCGTCCAGGAGGAGCCGTGCGGTGAGGGCAGCCCCTGCCCCGTGTACGCCCGCGTGCGCAAAGCGCCCCGCGCACCGCAGCGCTCACAGCCCCACAACCCCGAGCCCGAGGAAGAGGCACCTCCAGCGCTGCCCGAGAAACTTTTTGATGACTTGCAGGATGACACGGAGGTATTTCGGACGAAGTTTTGAGCCTGGGCGGCTCGGGAAAGGTTTGTGGTGGGGTTTTGAGCGCTCCAGGCAGGCGTGGAGCAGCTCCTGGGACTGGTGGGGCACTGGGTGCCCTGTGGGGTGGATTTGGTTTGGGTGATGGGTGCCACAGGGAAGGGCATCACCCCAAAAAAAAAACAAAAAACAGTGGCATCAGCTCGGTGCTGCCTGCAACGGCACGGGATGCAGGAGGGAAAGGTGTGGCTGCTTCCTGGAGAAGCTGAGGACACGGCGATGCCATCCGGCAGGTGAAGGGGATGCACAAATTCGTCTTCTGCTCTCCGTGCGCCTTTTCCTCTCTATAAACATCGAGAAAAAAAACACACTCTGGGTGTTTTCCTTCCCAGCAGCGACAGGTTGTGGAGGGGGGGATGCGTGAATTCACCCCCATTGCTGTTTTAATCCCTCCCTGCTCCCTCCCAGACCCTTCAGCAGGGCTCTGAAGGGGAAGCAGCACCGGGTTTTGCTCGACCCCAAGCGTGAGCTGCCCCGATAGGGACAGGACCCGGCTTATCTCCCCCCCGAGGGCCTGGCAGCAGCCCTGGGAGGCCGGGAGCAGCACACACAGAGAGCAGCAGTTACGTGGAGCAGCTGAGATAACTCCTGTGAGCGCTGCCGGGACGTCCCCGCACATCTGCAACCCCTGCTCAGGGTCCTCCAAAGCCCGAGGCGTCCCCATGCCTTGCTCCAGTTTTTTTTTCCACCCTAAAAAATGCCAAATTCCATCCCACGGGGATGCAGCACGGGTGATTTTGCATTTGCAAGCAGCTGTGGGTTTAAATTCCCCTTCCCAGAGGTGGCCAGCTTCTGCCCTGCATCCGAGATCTGAGATCTGAGCTTCCCAGCATCCAAGATTTGAGATCTGAGCATCCGAGCTTCCAAGAATCTGAATATCCAAGATCTGAGCATCCAAGATCCAAGCATTTGAGCTTCCCAGCATCCAAGATTTGAGATCTGAGCATCCCAGCATCCTAGATCCAAGATCTGAGCTTCCCAGCACCCAAGATCTGAGATCTGAGCATCCGAGGTCCAAATATTTGAGTATCTGAACACCCAAGACCCAAGCATCCACCCCGGGTGCTGACCCTTATCCCCCATCTCCCCATCCCTGGCTCTGCTCCATCCCCAGCAGCGCTGCTGCAGCCAAAGCCACGCTCCTGAGGCCACAGAACCCAAAACGTGCAGCTGAGCATCCAATTTTGGGCTGTGCTGGCAAAAATCTCCAGCACCCGGCGCTGGCACCTTGCTTTCTGAGCACCAACGGCTCTGCTAAAGCAGAAGCTTTCCCTTCTCAGCCTGCGAGCCGAAATGGGAGTGGTAAAAATGGAGAAGAAAGGCAAAAATAGTGCCCTAATCCTCTTTTCTTGGGGTTGCTTTGGAAGCAGTGATGATTCCTGCGGTGTCCGAGTCCTGCTGCCCACCCAGCACGTGAAGAAGCCACTCAGAGCTGTGTGAAGAGTGCGTGTGAGCCAAAATTGGGTGAAATCCCCTTAAAAGAGATGAGGAAAGAGGAAACACCACTCAAACAATCAGCTGGAGCACTGCGGGGTCAGCGCTGTGCAGAAAGGCGCCGAGAGGCTGGGACTGGGGCAGGCGGCGAGCGCCGAGGGATTGCTCAATTTTAGCAGAGTTTGGCAAAAAAAAAAAATCCTCCCAAAGGCTCAGAGCAAGCTGCTGGGGCTGGCTCGGGTCTGTCCCAATTTGGGCCACGTCTCCCATGGTCACTGGGTGATACTGGGAAGAAATGAGGGGGCAGAAGGATCTGTGGTGCCCCTGCAATTATTGGGGCCGTGTGTGTTGGGAACAGGAAGGGCAAACCTGCCTGGAAGAGGGTTTTCTTCATCGGGGTCTGCTGGAACCATTCGGTTTTGGCTTCTCCAGATTTGATTGGTGTTCTTAGAGCAGCAAAAATGGGATTTCCCCGGTCTGTAGCTGAATTGGGATGGGAAATCACGCAGGGTTCCCCTTCTCTGCCATCCCTCTGGGCAACCAAAGCATCTGTCATAAAAAGAGAAAAAAAGTTTCACAAAACTTCAATTGTTTCTGTGAAAAACGAGCAGAAGGAGAAAAAAAACAGAACAAGTTGTACATCCTCTGCAGCATCTCACCCCAAATCCATGGCACATGACCTGAGGAAGGCACAAGAGCCCCAGCAGGAGGCAGAGATGCTGCAGGGGGCTGGCAGCCTGCTGGGACACCCAAGAGACCCCACCAAAGCCAAGGGCAGGCGGTTTGGGGAATATTCTCCCTATTTTGCTGCCCCAAAGATGCAATCCGGGCAGGGGGAGGGCGGCGTGAGCTTTTGAAGCTCCCCAGGGAAGGAGCGAAGCCATTTGGGGTGGAGGGAGGCGTGCAGAAGGGGGAAGGCCGGGAGGACCTTACAAACACCGGTGCCACCAAAGGGATGGGGGCAGAGGAAGAGATCCCACCCCAAAAACACCGTGGGTGGGAAAAGCAAACAGGCAGCAGGCTACGTCTGGGTTGGCATCACCAGCGGGCAGCAGGTGCTATGCCAAAGGACAAGGCTGTTAATTATTAATTTTTCTGCTGAATGGAGCAGAGGGGAAGAGCCAGGGCTGGCTGGGGAACGAGCCCGGGGCTGCGGGGACAGGCAGGTCGGGGTTTACACTGACAGGCCTGAGAATAAATGTTTGAGATCCCAAAAAGCTGCACCCTGCACCCCAGATCTTCATCACGCTCCCCAAAGATGACAATTTCCCCCAAAACAGCCCTGCTGGGCTGCCCACCCCGGCCATAGAGGAGATCCAGCTCATTTCTATCAGCCTGATCTACGGCACAGCCCCCGGTGCCTCGTTTTTTTTTCCCTAGGAGCGACACATTTCAGCAGCTTGGATCCGCTCAGCTTCCAAAATTGGCCAAGATTTTAGATGCAAGAGGAAAAAATAACAAGGTACGCTTGGCAGAGGACCTGCGTATGAAAGGGTACTCGAGAATTTGTTGAAGCTGGGTTGGTGCCACGAAGGGAAGAGCAGTGCTGGGAGTGAAAGCAAAGAGTTAAAGGGAAAGGAGAGGGGAAAAAAAAAAAAAAAAAAGCAAACAGGCCAGTTAAAAAAAAAAGCATAAGGAGGCAAAGAGCAGAAAAGGAAACCTCGTGAGTGTCTCTTCCCCTCTTGGCTTCTCCCGGCCGCGGGGAGGGGAGGCTGTGCTGTGCCAGCGCACCCAAAACAGCCGGGAATTTCCAGCGGCACCACCGAGCAGAGGAGCCACGAGCTGGAAATCCGTGGTGCCAAAAATAAAAAAGGGGAGGTGAGGGAGCACCGAGAGGCAGCGTGGGTCCAAAACGCAGCCAGGCTTTCATTTTAGGAGCGAGGATGGTGGAGGGATAACCATCTGCTGCCACAGCAGCCCCGAGTGTGCAACACCCCGGCGTCGGGCATGCCAGGACGGGGAACTGCGCGAGCTCTGGGTGCGAGGCTGTTTGTGCAACCACAGACACGTTCGGTGGCTTTTGCTTGACCCCAGTGGGTTGGTTTGTTTTTTTTCAGGCTCTCAGGGAGCGCTCGCATCACATTTCCAAACATTTTCCTGCTTCCAGCAGGATAAGGCACCGAGCTTTTTCGATTCGTGAGCTGCGTCCGCCCGGAGAGATGCGCCCGGCTGCGCTGTGTGGAACAAAACCTGGCCAAAAAGTGTCCCTTTTGGTGAAAACCCAGCTCTAAAAATCCCTGGTGACACCACCAGCAATGGCAAGCAGCCGGGAAGCCCACTGCTGCGCTCCGTGTGGCCAACAAGCCGGGCTCCCTTCATTTTTAAACAACCCCCACATCCCAAAAAGAAAAAAAGGATTTGTTTTAAGTCGTGCTTGCAGCAGCAGTGGGTTCTTTTTGAGGTTTCTCTTCTCAGGCACCTCCAAACGTCCTGCGCAGCAGCCAGCCTGCTCCCACGTGGAGTTGTTGTCAAAAGTGCTTCAAACTGCACGAGGCTGGGAGCACCAGCTCTGGTGTCAGCACTGCAACGGGCACGGTGAAGTAACTGCCTTGCTCGAGCTGAAAAAAAACATTAAAAAAATTAAAACTCCCTAAGGGAGAGCAAAATGAACAGCAGCCATAGAAGAAACCCTCATCACAGCAGTGGCATGCAAGATCCTCATCATCTGATGGCCCAATTAAAGCTTTTCGGGAGAAATTAAATTTAATTTCAGGAGAAATGAAAGCATCAGGAGAAATTAAGACCCTGCAAAACCAAGACAAGAGAGGCAGGTGCCCCAAATCGGTGCACTTACAGGAGAGGGGGCTCGGGCACGGCTTCCCCTCACTGATTTTGGCTCGCCAGAAGCTGCACCGAGGAGGGAAATCCCTCTGCGTGCTCGTGACAAAAGCCCTCCCAGCCTGCACGAAGTGGTTTGGGAAGCCTCGCTTCGAGGAGGCAATTAGCAGAAGGTCCCGTTGAGACATGATTGATTTAATCGTGGGATCACTCGCGTTTTTCAAGGCAGGAACACGCCCGGGTGCCTCCTGAGCAGGAGGCACACGTGGAAAATGTTCAGGACAGTCACAGCCTTGCTCCTAGAAGGCTTTGGGGATTTTTAAGAGCTGGTTATGGGAATGTACGACCCTGTTCCTGAGCAAGAGAAGGGAGCAGGAGATAAAGGATTTCTTTTTTGGGGCTAAAAAAAATCCACGTTATCTGGAGGTGGCCAGACTGGGTCTGGTTCTCAAGACCTCAGTGCTGGTAAACTCACTCACATCGTTCCTGCCATTGAGGCCAATGCACCAAAAAAAAAAAAAAAAAAAAGGGAAACCCTCCCAAATCCTGATGGATTTCATAAGGCCAGGATTTTGCCTAAAATCTCTAAACGTGAGCCAAAACAGGAGGCATCTGGGTATCACGAGAGACCATTAGATCCTGGTGAGATGTGCCTTAGGGGAACGTCTGCAGACCCTTGAGTTGGGAACAAGGGTGAGAGCGAGGAGAAGCAGCAAACCTGCACGAGGCACCACAACATCCTTCAGAAAGACGAGTTTCTGTCCCAGGAAAAGCAGCTGAGAGCATCCAGAGCCGTGGAGGGTGCCTCTCAGGAAAACGTCGTGGTTTTCTCCAAGTGTGGCAGCTAGAAATGCACTTCAGTTTTCTCCTCCTCACGTTTCTTCCCCAAATCACTTGATCCCACGAGCTGAGGAGGTTAAAAAAATAAATAAATCACATTTCAATGGCTTGCAACAAAACTTCAAGAATCACTTTAAGACTGAGACCTTGATATTTTTCACTCTGGACTTGCTCGGACCACAGCACACGTTGGTTCCTTTATAATATCAACGACATAGCAGGATTTGGTTAAAAATAATTAAAAAAATAAATAAAAACAACTCCAGTTTGGTTGGTTAATTTGGTACTGGTGGCTTGGCCCCGCTTCATCTCGGACCAAAACACGACGACTGATATTAATAGACTCCAAATGTCAGTTAAGCAGTTTATCCTGAGCTTGTGTACTCAGAAATGAATAATCTCTTGAGGTTGAGGGCCAGAGGCCAAAGCGAAACGCCAGGCAGAGCAGCGGGTAGGTAAAACCCAGCCAAGCTCATTCAGCTGCCCGGCGCTGTTAGACTCAAGCTAAACATTTAATATTAAACTGAAATTAAAGCTGTGACTAACGACCGTCCCGTGGACAGGGTTTTGTATACAGGATTTTTCTTTCCATTGTGTTTTTTTTCCTCATTTTAAAGTGGTGCACGATAATTTTTAAAAATTGGGTTAAGTTCACGCCGCATACATAGTGACAGGGGAACTCTGTACAAAGACAATAAAACAGAAATCAGCAGATTTTAGGTCTTCCTACATACACCAGGCTCAGCCATCACATAATACTTTCAGCTGGAACTTCTCACTTAGGTGTTCGTGGAGATTCACCACGATTTCCTGACCGATTCCAAGAGAGCAGGATTTTGGGGACAGGAGAGGAAGCCTCTCTTGTAGGTAACTGTTAATTTTATTTTTTTTTTAATAAACCCTTGTGCAGGAATAAACAGTTTCACGTGTGCTCCCTAAGGAAAGAGGTTAACAGATGGGATCCCTCACACAGCTGGACCAGGCTGTCTGTTGGGCAGCACGGTCACAAACAGAGAACAGGGAGGGCTGAGGTGACAACGTTCACGGGCAGGACAAAATCAGCCCAAATCCTCGTGCCCAGAACCAGGGAAAAGATCACACAGCCAGCGGGATGAGGGGATACAACAGTAGATGGGATTTAATGTCAATAAGTAACATCTTGGAAAAATTAATCATACACAGAGTTACAGGCTCTAACTCAGCTATTACCTCTCAGGGTTATTGTTAGCTTCAGCTGTTACCTCTCAGGAAAAAGAAATCTGGGGGTTGTCGTCGATAGCTCCAAGGAGAGCACTGGTTAAAACTCAGCAGCAGCCAAATCCAGCGTTGGCAGCTCGTCTGGAAGGAACAAAAACCAAAATAGCAAACATTATTACGTTGCTGCTTAAATCTGTGCCACGTTCTGATGACACAGGGAGGAGTTACCCAAGCACCAGAGGGAGAAGTCAGCTCCCGCACGAGGAGACCAAAAAGCCGAGGACGTTCGCAAACTACGTGACCGGTGGGGCAGGCAGGGAGAAGCTGATAAAAAGCTCCTGAGTCATGGATACTGCGAGGAAGGCTAAGGAAGAGATACGCAGCGCACGGTTAAGACAAAAGCTGGGGACACCGAAGAAATCCCAAGGCAAACAAGAGGAAGCAAGTTTTTCACGTAGCGCTTCGGCCACAGGTGAACCTGCTGGGGCAGGATGTCGCGGGGAAGCAAGAGAATTAAAAGAGTTCAAAAGGGACTAAACAAATTAATGGATTCGGGGTATATTAGTGCTATTAAACACCAGAGGCTGATGTTCTTCAGATTAAAAGCGGGCCATTAGCTGCAGGGAAGCTCCCTGCCCTGCACGAAATGATCTCAGTGCTCAATTTCAAAGGCTGCTCTCGTGACACGCTCCCACCACCGGTGCTGCCGCACTCGCTCACGGCCTCAGCTGCGGTCAGGCAGGAGCAGCAGCTCCAAAGGCAGAGGTGGATCTTGTCTGGGGGCCAGGCACATCAACACCGTGATGAGATTTATGTGCCTGCACTGATCAGGTTTCATTTTATTGGTATAGAGAGGAATCAACTACCCAGTACTACACATTTGGGCTGTTTAACTGCTAGATTATACACACATACTGCCTCTATCTTACTATTAAACAGTGTGTAACACTACATCTATCCCAAAAGCTTAGATCAGAGTTTTAAAGCACTATTAATTCTCATTCTCTTCAGCCTGAGCTCTGGTTTAGCTTCTTCAGCTCCATTTCACCAAAGATTTAATCAGACCTCAGCCCCAAACCCTTTCAATAAAGGTACAATTAGTAAAATGAGAATGACTAAACCCAGAGAGAGAACATTGTGTGCGTTTTATATGAATGTATCTTGAAGGGTCAGAGTTTTCAAAGGCCTTTGAAGAACTGTGCTCAATTTAGGACAGGTATTTCAACAAGTCAACCAATTATTCACTCAAATTTATGCATTTTTTGATGGGTTGCAAGCCGTCCTTTAGAAGCGCGCTGCCTGACGCTGCCAGGACACAGCTCCTGCCACAGCCACCATGCCTCCTGAAGAGAACCAAGCAGAGAAATTTAAAATAAATACATAAATAAGCAGATATCCTTCCCTCAACCTGGATTTTTCCTTTTTTTTTAATTAAATAACCCAAACGCCGCCCGCACGGGGTGCTGAGGGCGAGCCCCCGTCCCCCCTCAGCAGGGCCCTGAGGGGGGCTCGCCTCAGGAGCCCCTTCCCCGGACCGGGAGCCGCTGTCCCCAGCCCGTCCCCCAACAGGACACCGCCAAACCGGGCCGGGAGCCCGCAGAGGCCGAGCCGGGAGCCTTCAGCCCCGCCGCTCCCCTCACAGGCGGGCACCGAGCCGAGGCCTACAGGCGGCTGAGCAGAACGCGAGCCCCCCGCCTCCTCCGCCCGCCCACCCCACACTGGCGCCTCACTCCGCCGCAACCCCGCTTGAGGCGCCGGAAGGCGGGGCTTCCCCCGCGGGACGCGCTGCTATTGGCCACCTCTCCGCGCCGTCGCCTCCTATTGGTCCCTCGCGGCTCGCAGCCCGCCCCCGATTGGCTGAGCTCCCCCCGCCAACCCCGCCTCCTGGCTGGCGGGGGCGCGAACGTGCGGCGCGGGCTGTTCCCTTGGCCGGGGGGCGCGCGCGGCCTCCACGTGGGGAACAGCACGTAGGCAGCGCGCGCGGGGGGGGGGGCGCGCGGCGTGCCCGCGGGGGCGGGGCGGGGCCGCGAGGGGCGGGGGGCACGCGCCAGGAGCAGCCATTGGGGGGGGGGGGCGTTATGGGGTCTGGGGAGGGGTCATAGAGGATATAGGGCGGTTATGGGGTCTGGGGAGGGGTCGTGGAGGATATGGGGCGGTTATGGGATGTGAGGGGGGTTATGGGGTGTGAGGAGGGGTCGTGGAGGATATGGGGCGGGTGTGGGGTCTGGGGAGGGGTCTTGAAGTATGTGGGGCAGTTATGGGGTCTGAGGGTGGTTATAGGGTCTGAGGAGAGGTCGTGGAGGATATGGGGCGGTTATGGGGTCTGAGGGTGGTTATGGGGTCTGGGGAGGGGTTATGAAGGTTATATGGGGTGTGAGGGTGGTTATGGGGTCTGGGGAGGGGCCATGGAGGATATGGGGTGTGAGGGGTGGGCGTGAGGTATGAGGGGCGTTACGGGGAGAAGGGGGTGGCTGTAGGGTTTGGGGAGGGGTCATGGAGGTTATAGGGTGTGAGGGGGGTTATGGGGAGAGGGGGCGGCTGTGGGGTCTGAGGAGGAGTCTTGAAGGATATGGGGTGGTTATGGGGTCTGAAGAGGGGTCATGGAGGATATGGGTGGTTATGGGGTCTGAAGAGGGGTCATGGAGGATATGGGTGGTTATGGGGTGTGAGGGTGGTTATGAGGTCTGAGGAGGGATCGATCATAGAGGATATGGGGCAGTTATGGGGTGTAAGGTGCGAGGGGGCTTATGGGGAGCCGGGGGCAGCTGTGGGGTTTGAGGAGGGGTCTTGGAGGATATGGGGCAACCATGGGGTCTGAGGGCAGTCATGAGGAAATAAGGGTGGCTGTGGGTCTGAGGGGCATCCATGAAGACTTTGGGATAGTCATGGGGTGTGGATGGTCATGAGGAGAGGGGGGCAGCTATGAGGTCTGAGGGGTGGCCATAAAGGATATGGGTTGGCAGTGGGGTGTGAGGGGTGGTCGCGAGGAAGTGAGGGTGGCTGTGGGTCTGAGGGGCAGCTATGGAGGATTAGGGGTGGTTGTGGGGTCTGAGAAGTAGTCGTGAGGAAATAAGGGTGGCTGGGGGCTGTGAGGGGTGTCCATGAAGGATTAGGGGTAGCCATGGGGTGTGAGGGGCAGCTGTGAGAAAAGGAAGGCAACTGTGGGGTCTGAGGGGCAACCATGGGGTGTGAGGGGTGGTCATGAGGAAATAAGGGTGGCTGTGGGGTCTGAGGGGCAGCCATGAAGGATTAGGGGTGGCCATGGGGTATGAGGGGCAGCTGTGGGGTCTGAGGGGTGGCCATGAAGGATATGGGGCAGTTATGGGGTGTGAGGGGCGGTCGTGAGGGTAAGAGGACAGCTATGGGGTCTGAGGGGCAGCCATGAAGGATTTGGGGCAGCCATGGAGTGTGAGGGGTGGTCGTGAGGAAATAAGGGTGGCTGTAGGGTCTGAGGGGCAGCTATGAAGGATTTGGGGCAGCTATGGAGTATGAGGGGCAGCTGTGAGCAGAGATGGGCAGATGTGGGTGTGAGGGGTGGTCATGAGGAAATAAGGGCAGCTATGGGGTCTGAGAGGCAGTCATGAAGGATTAGGGGTGGCAAAGGGGTTTGAGGATGGTCATGAGGAGATAAGGTGACTGTGGGGTCTGAGGGGCAGCCGTGAAGGCTTAGGGGCTGCCATGAGGTGTGAGGGGTGGTTATGAGGTGAAGATTGCTGCGGGGTGCGAGGGGCAGCCATGAAGGATTAGGGGTGGCCGTGGGGTGTGAGGGGCAGCTGTGAGGAGAAAAGGGCGGCCATGGGGTGTGAGGGGTGGTCCTGAGGAGAAAAGGGCGGCCATGGGGTATGGGGGTGGTCGTGAGGAGAAAAGGGTGGCCTTGGGGTGTGAGGGGTGGTTGTGAGGAGACAAGGGGTGGCCATGGGGTGTGTGGGGTGGTCCTGAGGAGACAAGAGGTGGCCATGACAGATATCCATGAGGGGTGAAGGGTGACCATGGCAGCTTCTGAGGCAGACAGAAGGCTCCAGGGACCTCCTCCAAGCATGGCGCTGGGTTTGGCCCCGACACCACCTTCCCCCAGAGCAGGAGGCTCGTCCCCAGCCCCCTCGTGCCACCCAGGGGACACGGGCACACGTCCCCGCGGGCTGTCCCCTCCGTGCTGTGGCAGCACGTCCCCACACGTGCCTCCTGAGCACCTGTCCTCGTCCCACAGTGCGTTTAGGTCCGTGAGGACTTCCAGCGAGCGCCGACTCGGAAACCCAAACCCACAGAGCTGGGGGGTTAATTACGGGGTGTAATTGGCACTGCGAGCTCTCAGTTCGTAAATACATACGTCAAAAAGAGCTATTGGAGTCCTAAAGTGGGCGATTTTAGGGTTTTAGGCAACTAGCGGGCCATGACCCCTTCCTGCCCCAAAAGTTTTGGATTAAAATGCCATATTAAATCCCGTCTCGCTGCGAGCGGAGGGCTGGAAGATGGAGCTTTCCAAAAATGATTTCTCCTTCGAATTAGAGATGTCTAATCTCAACCCCAATGTCCAAAGGGGTTTTCCTGGGACGCGTCCCCACAATGAGCACCTTGCACCCACGGTTGCACGCTCGCCGCCAGCCCCTGCCCGAGCGGCAGCCATCGCCGTGTGAGTTGTTCTTTATTTTTAGCAAATAAAATATTCTTTATATTTAGCAAATAGCTTTTATTTGGTGGTCGTTTAATTCTCCTGAATGCCGACATGATGCGGTGAAGCTCCCTTGGCAGACAAAAAAACTTTAATTTAAAAAAATATAATTAAAATCATTTGGAAACATATGGGAGACCTGGAAAAGGGACTGGAAACATCGAGTTTGGGTACGGAGGTGAAAGTGGGGATGTCACCGGGAGGGCAATGCTAACACCAGGGACCCTATGAGGGGCTGAGTGGATTGGGGCTGGAGGATGAGGAGCTGTGGGACCCTACAAGGGTCTGTGTGGGTTGGGGGATGAGGAGTTGTGGTGTCCTGGTGGGACCCTACAAGGGTCTTTGTGGGCTGGGGGCTGGAGGATGAGGAGCTGTGGGACCCTATGAGGGTCTGTGTGGGTTGGGGGCTGGAGGATGAGGAGCTGTGGGACCCTACAAGGGTCTGTGTGGGTTGAGGGCTGGAAGATGAGGAGTTGTGGGAACCTACAAGGGTCTGAGTGGATTTGGGGGGCTGGAGGATGAGGAGTTGTGGTGTCCTGGTGGGACCCTACAAGGGTCTGCATGGGTTGGAGGCTGGAGGATGAGGCTAGTTGTTGGGGACCCTACAAGGGTCTGAGTGGGTTGGGGGCTAGGGGGTGAGGAGTTGTGGTGTCCCTGGTGGGATCCTATGAGGGTCTGTGTGGTCTGGGGGCTGCCAGGGGATCAGAGGCCGGAGCAACCCCTTCCCCACAGCGGCAGCCCTCACCCCGCCCTCCCTGAAAACGAAAAAAAAAATCTCCATTTCTTCCTCTCTTCCTTGATTTTTTTCTTTTTTTTTTCTCTCAGAAAAGCGGCTCCGAAGGGGCCAACGCCGCTCGCGGCCGCACAGAGCCAACCCCCGGCACGGCCCCGCCACGCCTCGCCGCTTCCCCCCCCCAAAAAAAAACCCAAAAAATCCTTTTCCACCTCAACAACCCGGCTCGGGGGGGGGAGATCTGAGGGAAAAAGGGATATGGGGAAGCTGTGGGGGCTGCCCCCATCCCATTTCCAGCCCTTTTTTCCCTTCCAACCGGGACTTGGGCGGCTCGGGGAGGGGGAGGCTGATGAAGGGGAGGGGAGGATGATGAAGGAGGGGGCAGGATGATGAAGGGGGGGGCGCTTGGAGAAGGCGGCGGAGCCAATGCGCAGGAAGGGGCCGAGCATGTGGGGAGTTGTTTACACCAGCCCGGCCCCGGGAGCTTTAACCCGGCCGCCGGCGAGGAAGGAGGGAGCCACGGCCCCGCCACGCCGTGAGTAGCTCGGGGACAGCCGGGGAGGAGACCCCCGGGGGTCCCCCCCCCCATTTTATTCCCGGGGGTCCCCCCGTTGGAGACCCAACTTTGCGCCTAGGGTTTTCCCTCCTTGCTCCTAGGGGTCCCCCCCTTGCTCTTAGGGTCCCCCTCTTTACTCTTGGGGTCCCCCCTTGCTCCTAGGGGTCCCCCCCCTTGCTCTTAGGGTCCCCCCTTGCTGCTAGGGACCCCCTCTTTGCTCTTGGGGGTCCACCCCCTTGCTCCTAGGGTCCCCCCCTGGAGACCTCCCCTTGCTCCTAGGGGTCCCCCCCTCTTGCTCTAAGGTCCCCCCTTGCCCTTAGGGTCCCCCTTTGCTACTGGGGGTCCTCCCCCCTTGCTCTTAGGGTCCCCCTTTGCTCTTGGGGGTCCACCCCTTGCTCTTAGGATCCCCCCCTTTGCTCCTGGGGTCCCCCCCTGGAGGCCCAGTTTTGCTCCTAGGGGTCCAACCCTTGCTCTAAGGCCCCCCCTTTGCTCCTGGGGGTCCTCCCCCCTTACTCTAAGGTCCCCCCTTGTTCTTAGGGTCCCCCCCTTTGCTCCTAGGGGTACCCTCCTTGCTCTTAGGACCCCCCCTTTGCTCCTGGGGACCCCCCCTTTGCTCTTGGGGACCCCCCCTTGCTCCTGGGGGTCCACCCCCTTTGCTCCTAGGGGTCCCCCCCTTGCTCTTAGGATCCCCCCCTTGTTCTTAGGATCCCCCCCTTGCTCCTGGGGGTCCCCCCCTTACTCTCAGGATCCCCCCTTACTCTTGGGGATCCACCCCCTTTGCTCTTAGGGTCCCCCGTTTGCTCCTGGGGGTCCCCCCCCAGCTGCTGGCGTCCCCCCTCTTTCCTCCTGGAGACCCCCCCTTGCTCCTGGGGGTCCCTTCCCTTTGCTTTTAGGATCCCCCCTTGCTCTTAGGATCCCCCCTTTTACTCTTGGGGGTCCCCCCCTTCCCTTTACTCTTGGGGTCCCCTTTTGGGGTCTCCCCCCCCCCCAAAACCCCTTTTCTCCTCCTAGGGGGGGTCCCCGCTCTTTTGAGCGACCTCCTGGAGGGGAACCGGGGAAAGGCGGGAGGGGGGGGGGAATAATGAAATATAAAAAAATAGATATAAAAATTAAATAAATAATTTAAAAAAAAAAAAAAAAAAAAAAAGCAAAGAGGGGGCGGGAGCGGCGGTTCCCGCCCGGCCGGGCCGCGCCTCCCTCCAGGACCGGCGGCCGCGTACGTGCGGCGGCCTCCGCCGGGGACACCGGGGGTGGGGGGCGGCCCCGCTGAGGTAAAAAGGGGTCCGGGGAAGGGGGCTGGGGGGACATTGGGGACCTTGGGGGATCGTGGGGACCCTGGGGACCACCGGGAGGGGGCCGGCAGCCGCCTGCCGCCCGCGCTGCGCCACGGGGAAACCCCCCCCGGCTTCCCTCCCCCCTGTGCCAAAGTCCTGCGGGGCTGTGCTGGGCCTGGTGCACGCCCCCCCCCCGGCATTGCAACCCCCCCTTTTCACTTACAACCCCCCCTTTTGCATTGCACCCCCCCCCTTCTGCATTGCACGGCCCCCCTTTCCCTTGCAACCCCCCCTTTTTGCATTGCGACCCCCCCACTTTTCCCTAACAACCCCCCCTTTCCCTTGCACACCCCCCCTTTTGCATTGCACACCCCCTTTTAGCATTGCAACGCCCCCCCCTTTTAGCATTGCAACCCCCCCTTTTCCCTTACAACCCCCCCTTTTGCATTGCACGCCCCCCCCCGTGCCTTGCAACCCCCCCTTTCCCTTGCACACCCCCCCCATTTTCCCTAACACCCCCCCTTTTGCATTGCAACCCCCCCCCTTTTCCCTTACAACCCCCCCTTTCCCTTGCACACCCCCCCCATTTTCCCTAACACCCCCCCTTTTGCATTGCACGCCCCCCCCTTTCCCTTGCAACCCCCCCTTTTAGCATTGCAACCCCCCCCCTTTTGCATTGCACCCCCCCTTTCCCTTACAACCCCCCCCCCTTTGCATTACACCCCCCCTTTAGCATTGCACGCCCCCCCCGCGTGCCCCGCCCCCCGGGAATACCCGTTGCACGCCCCCCCCTCCTTGCACACCCCCCCCTGTTGCACGCCCCACCCTCCCCGTGCTGCCCCGTGCGTGCCCCCCCTTTTCACCCCCCCTTTATTTTCCCCCGTGTCCCCGTGCGTGTCCCCCCGCCCCACGCACACGTGTCCCGCGCGGGGCCGCCCTCCGGCCCTGCCATCTTCCCCACGTGCCCTTGCACGCCCCTTGCACGCCCTTGCACGCCCCTTGCACGCCCCTTGCACACTCACTTGGCCGTCGGTGCACGCTTGCACGCGTGCGTGCGCTTGCACAACCCCGCGCGTGCCCACCCGCCGAGCCCTCCGGCCTTGCCATCTTCCCCACGTGCCTTGCACGGCCCTTGCACGCTCACTCGGACGCCCGTGCACGCTCGCACGCGCGTGTGCACCCGCACAACCACACGCGTGCACGCTCGCAGATCCATTTGCACGCTCGCACAGCCCTGCCCGTGCTCGCACAGCCCCGCGCGCTCTCGCACAGCCTTGCACGCGCTTCCCCGGCCTCGCACGCGCGCGTGCAGCCTCGTGCGCTTGCACACCCACGCGTGCACGCCCCACGCCGCCTCCCAGCCGCTCTCGGACCCGGCGAGCTGCCGCCCTTTCCTTCCTGGCCGCCTTCCCGCGGGGCCGGGCTCCCCCGCAGCGGGGGCCCCTTTCCCGGGGGGAAACCTCGCCGCCAGCGCCCGCGCCGGAAAGTGCATTTATTTTCTTATTTTTTTATTTTTTTGGACATTTTCGGCCTTCTTCCCAAAGCTTTTTCCTCGGGAATCACCCGGCAGCGGCTCCCCGCCGCCGCTTTTCGGGTTGTCGAGCGGTTGGGTACGGTTATGGCTGCTCGGCTCGGAGAGGGAGGAGGAATTCGGACGGGGTTTGTGTGCTCCCTGCTCCGGATCCTGGCGCCGCACCAAGCTGTTGCGTTGCCGCTCCCGGCCGCTTGCCACCTCTCTTAGGAGCTTTTTTTTCTTTTTTTTTTTTTTCAATAAAAGCCCAAACTTCACGATTCGCTCCCGATCTGTTTCCCGGCCGTCTGCGCGCGGCCGTGCCGTGGCTTGTCAGGAGCTCTGGGGGGGAGTTTTGGGGCGAGAAGGGGTTTTTTTGAACCGGGAAAGCTAAAGGGTTTATTGTCAGTTATTGCAGCACTTAGAGGCTCTTAAAAGATGGATTTTATGGTCGGCTGTGCTCATCTGCGGTGCTTTGTGGCGCGCGTTCGGCTCCGTTTGAAGGAACCTGTACTTTTTTTTATTATTTTTTTTCCAAGAAAAGGGGGGGGAAACTGGGCTTTGCTGGCTTTGCCGCGCACACAAGCAGCAAAAGCGCTTCCCGCTGCGGACCCGAAGCTCAGCACCCGGGTACTGAGCTCCAGGCCTTGGGCTTTGCCATCACCTGACCTTCCCCGCGAGCCAAACGAAGCTCTCCTCGTTAACCGAGCGGCCTCTTGCCCCCGGGCTCCGCTCCGGTGCCGGCTGCTGACGTGCCGGAGCTGGAAATGCGCCGTCCCCAAAAAAAAAAAAACGCACGCCCGGGCATTGGAGCAAGAAAATAATTTGGGAGCGGTGCCGGCGCTGACCCCTGCGGCGCCTGATTGCAAACAGCTGGGAGGGCTCGAGGCGGCTCCGGCGGCGGCGGCGAGCCCAGCGCCCGCTCCTCGCCTCGCTTTTTGTGTTTTTGGGCTCCGGGCAGAGCGCCGAAACGGGATCCGGCCTTCAAAGGACGGGGTCTACTGGAAGCAGATGTGGCTCCAAGGCCCAAAAGGGATTTTGGGAGGAGGGTTTTGCGCCTCCGGGTCGCAACCGTGCCGCTCTCCTCCTTCCCTGCACATCAACGCGTGCCGCGGGCCGAAATTTGGGGCTAAAACCTCCAGGAGCAGCAGCAATCCTCCGAGGAGTGGTTAGCAAAAATGCCCTATTTCTCCCCAAATCCTCGCCACACGGATGATGCTGGAAGGAAGCGTGGTCGGGGGCTTTTGGGGCTGGCATTTTGGGGTTGGCAGCGCCGTGGTGCTTGCGTCCCCTTCCATCGCGGGGGCTCCCCGCTGCGCGCCGCCTCCTTCTTGTCCTCGTCCTGCTGGCTGGCTCCGAAGGCGCTGTTAATTTTCTACCCGGGGACAGGCAGATTTCGGGGGAGGACGGAGCGAGCCGGGCGCGCGTGGTTGTTCAGAAAGGACCTCGTAAATCCCGGGCGGCCTTTGAAGCGGGACGGGGTTTGGAGTAACCCTTCCCGGGACGGCGTGCCCGGCCCAGATGTAACAAAATCCTTGCGTTTTGCAGTAAAACACCGCTTCTCTGTGACCCCAAATCGAGCATTTCTTGCCTCAACCCTGGGCTGGGCAGCAGCAAACCCCCACAGCCGGGTCTGGCACCCTGAGGGATGCGAGGGATTTTTTTTTGGGGTGCATCCCAAGGCATGGGGGAGATGCTGGCTGAGAGTTGTTGCAGTGGCCTTGGCTGCACCAGGATGCGTTGCCTGTCCCCATACCTGGATTTCTTTTGGTTTTAAGAAACCCTAAAACCACTTTTTTTCTTCTAAAACAGCAGCAAAAACTCTAAAGCCAAAGAAACAAACCAGAGAAGGCAGCTGTCGGCACGTGCTTGCTAGAGTCACACCAACCCGAGCAAAAATAGGCTGGGAATAGTTACAAAAGGATTATTTAGACCAAAATGCCCCAAAGGCTTCATTTTTAAGCAAAACTGGGCAGGAGGACGCGGCCGTTTCTTGACCCTGGGAGCGCAGGGCACGAGGTGCGAGCTTGCAGGAGGCTTCCCCCAAAAACCCCGAGAAGGTGGCGTGGAGGAAAGGAGAGCATCGTGGGGGGACTTTTGGTGTGGAATCGGCAAAAACGGGGCTTTTATGGGCACCGTCCCCACGTGCCTGAGTCTCTGGCTGTGTGCAGAGCCGTGGCTTTGGCTCCTAGGGTGACGACAGCGAGGGGATGCACCCCATCGGGATTTTGGGGTGCTGCTGCTGGTTGCGCATCGTGGTCCTGTGCTGGAGATAACCTCCCCGTGTCCTTTTTTCTCCTCCTGCAGCGTGGCCGAGATGGCGAGCGTGCTGTCCAGGCGCCTGGGGAAGCGCTCCCTGCTCGGCACCCGCGTCTCGGCGCCCGACGGGGTGCTGGTGGCCCCCCAAATCCACGCCTTGCCCGCCGACCTCAGCCGGCCCCTTGCCCCCCTGGCACCCCCAGAGGACGGATCCTGCCCGCAGGCGGTGGAGGAGAGCAGCCGGGCACCGAGATTCCCCAGCCCCGGGCACCATCAGCTGTGCGCCGGGCAGCAAGTACGTAAGGAAGCTTTTGGCTCGGGGCAGGGGGAGAAAAATCAGGTTTTTTTTCCCTAATTAAAGGTCCCGGGGGGAGCTGTAATTGGGGAGATGTTAATGGGGGTGTGTGCGCTTAGCCTGGGCTGTGCGTGATGGATTTGGGCCACGTTGCTTCTGTGGCCTCCAATCCTAAAAATGGGTGTCTGGAGAAGACCGAACACTTCCCTCCAGTATTCTCCAAACATTTTTGGCTAAAGGAGATGAATTTCACACCTCGTTTTCCCCCAGTGGACTGCTCCTCCCTAAGCTTGTCCCATCTCCCCAGCATCCATCCTAACACCTGCAGGCACCCCTTTAGAGGAGGGGACCCCCCCAGCTCCTGCTTGGGTTTCGAGCTGCATCCCTGGCAGCTTTTTGCCCCAGGATTTAGGGTCTGCAGGTGAGGAAAAGCAGGAAAAACCTGGAAAAGCAGCCCCCGGGGAAGAAACGGGGGTGACAGCTCCTCCAAAACGTCACCCAGACGTGGTGACACCCCTGCCTCTTGTCCCTGAGGGCCGTGCCTTGACCTGCGGCAGGGAGCAGCGCGTGTTCCTGGCTCCTACCCGCAGAGCTGTAAAAGTTTCTCCGGGCAGAGCTTGTGAAACGCTGTGTAAATAATGCCCTTGGTGGGTTTTCTGGCCGCTCCTGCACCCAGCAAGTTCCTCCTGCCCCCTGTTTATGAGCCGTGGGACACCAGGAGGTGTTTTCTCCCGTGTGCTCCAGCACGGGGGGGATTTTGCCCGCTTGCTTTGGCTGCTGGAAATGACTTCAAAACAGCGACGAGGAGGGATTTCAGCAGCACAGCTGGGTTCTGGCTTGGTGGCTTCGCAAACCGAAGGAGGTGCCACCTCCCTGCGTGGTGCCCAGCTCAGGAGGATGGATTTTTGTGGTGGGGAAGCCTCGCTCCTTGTTTTTGGGGAGCATCAGGAAGGGGTACGGGCTGCAGAGGCTGCGAGGGAGGTCAGATGGGTCCTGGCACTCCTCCTTCATCTTTTTTCCTGCTGGATGTCCCACCCGAGATGCTCTCAGGCTCTTTCCCTGGTCGATGTCTGGGTGCGTGTGTCCGTCCCGTAGCAGTTCCTTGGTGTGACACCCTAAAGAGGGCTCCTGGGCCTATAAATAGCTGCAGACACACGTAGTGCCTCCAGACAGCCACATTTCCATCCCCAGAAATAGGCTCGGGGCTGCTCGTGGCGCGGAACAGCCCGGGAGAAGCAAGCGAGCCTCGGGTGAAAGAGGAGGAGGTGAGCTCTGAACATCTCCTCCTGCCCGAGAGCGGCGACGGGAGGAATCGAGGTGCAATTTTAAGGTCCCTACGCCCAGGAGACCTCCGTTCCCTGATTTTTCATCCCCTCATTTACGTGTTTTCCCAGGGATTATAATGATTGGGGGTGCCTGCCACAGGATGGCGTGCAAGGAAAGCCAAACCAGAGGAATTAACTGGGGAAAAACCCGTCCAGAGTGGTGATGCTCTGTGAATGAGCTGAGGATGAGCTAACGTACCAGGGAGGGGCAGAGCTTTCAGCAGCGGGGTTGGGGTGAGCCCCGGCACCCCTTTACTTTTCAGGGCCAGCTCTGAGACAGCCTCAATCCCAAATCCCCCTGCTGTGGGGACGTCACACGCACGGGTCAGGATTTCCGACAGCACCAACAAACCTCCCCGCCTCTCCTTTTCCTTTTCCAGGTTTTGGTCACCTACAGCGGGCAGGAATTCGCGGGGCTGGCGGAGCAGCACGACCCCCCCAGCGACAAGGTGAAGGTGCTGCAGCCCGAGCAGGGCTCGCACACGTGCTGGAGGATGCAGGACACGCAGCCAGATGCCACCGAGGCGCTGCAGAGGTCGGTGTCCAGCAGCATCGACGTCCCCAAGAGGTACACGCCTCGGGCTGGCTCGGTTCTCTACCAGCAGAGAGAGAGGTGACGGGGATATCTCTGCTTTATCAAAGAGTGGGTTATCCTCAGAACGGTGCGGTTTAGGATGAAGGCGGATTTATTTCCTGCTTTGAGGGAGAAAACATCCTCCCTGGTGACTTAAAAATGACCCCCAAGCCCGCAAGGCACTGGTGGGAGCCGCGATGCCGCCGCAGGTCGCGGCTCCCCTGCTCGTGGTGGGTTTTTCCTTCGTTTTTTCTTCTGTGAATTTTACATTTCTGTCCCCCCACGGTGCAGGAAAGACGATGCGGCCGTGGAGATGGACGAGATGGTGGCGGCCATGGTGCTGACGAGCCTCTCCTGCAGCCCCGTGGTGCAGAGCCCTCCTGCCAGCGACAGCGGCATCCCCCGTGAGTGTGCATTAAAAAAAAACAACAAAAAAACACACTTTTATGATAAGAATAACAACATCTACACTCAAAAATGGAGAAATACCCTGGTGCTTTCACCAGACTGGGCTGGGATGGATGCAACCCGGAGGAGCCCGTGGTGCTGGTGCTGGTTGGGAGGGCACAGACGGGGTGACCCTGCCCTCCGTGACCGTCCTAGGGGGGGCCGGGGAGCCCCGGGGTGGGGAGCACCGCCCGGCTGCTCCTTTTTTTAGCGGCGGTTTCATTCCCGAGGAGTCAAATGGAGCCCGGGGGATAAAAATAGCAGCTGGGAGCCGTGGGAAGTGTGCGTGCCCCAGCGCTGGCCGCCCGCTGGCTGTGGACGAGGACGGGGAAGTGGGGTAAAAGTGGGAGCTGGCACCGAGCAAAAGCACAAAGGCTTTGTGTAAAAACGTGAAATAAATAGAAGGGAAACGTCCTCACTGGTTAAATCCAGCCTTGGGGCTGCTCTCAGCCCCCCCAGGGGGGGTTTTGGTCCTCCCCACGGTGACAGTGGCTGCGTGTCCCCCTCCGTGCAGCCTCGCGGGCAGTGTGTGATCCCTGGAAGGAGAGCGGCGACGTGTCGGACAGCGGCAGCAGCACCACCAGCGGGCACTGGAGCGGGGGCAGCGACATCTCCACCCCCTCGCCCCCTCACCCCGAGGGCAGCCCCAAGCACTCCAGCGAGGCCCTGAGCTCCCCGCCGGCTGACGACGGCTTCGAGACCGACTCCGACCCCTTTCTCCTCGACGAGCCGGCTCCGCGGAAGAGAAAGGTACCAAAAAAACCCCAGAACCCCCAGGACAACCCCCCCAGGGGCTGTTGTCACCCAGCTGGGGGTGCCACGAGCTCTATTTGTCCCCCAGAACTCGGTGAAGGTGATGTACAAGTGCCTGTGGCCGAGCTGCGGCAAGGTCTTGCGCTCCATCGTCGGCATCAAGCGGCACGTCAGGACCCAGCACCTGGGGTAAGGCCCAAATTTCACCTCTTCAGCCTCCAAACCTCCGTGCCCTGGTGCCGAGCGTGCCGGGAGCCACCAATTCCTGCACTAAATAACCCCAAAATCAGAGATGCCCCACATTTGTGCAGCAGGCTTGGCACTGCTGCCACTTATCCCCTCCAGGACGGGAAATTTTCAAGGGCAAAAGTGCTCGGGGTTAGTTTGTGCAGCTCAGGTCTGCCTCTAGGCACTGGATTAGGGTGTGGGGAGCAGCTTTGCTGTTGCAATTCTCACCACAGCCTCCGATTTTTCCTCCTTTTATGCATTTTTCTCCTCTTTTGCATTTTGAGTGCTCCGGGAAAAGTGCTGGCAGTGGGTGCAGCGGCGGTGCTGGACTGCCATCCAGTGCCAAGAAACGCAGCGGGACAACAACCAAAAAGGCTCTGGGCTTATTTTTTTTTCCCTCTTGGGCAAACCTCAGGGCTTCACCTGCAGCCAGCAGTGCCTGGTCACCCCGCTGGTGCTTCTGGCGGCGCTGGAAGATGCGCTCACCTTCCTTCCACGTGCTGCCGCTGTCACAGAGGCAGCAGCCACCAAAATGCTTTAGCACCTGCAGGCAGAGCCCTCCTATCTTGCAGCACCTCCCTCCCCCAACCCCAGGAGCTGCATTTTCACCCCTCTCCCCTTTTTCTCCCTGGCAGGGACAGCGCCGACTCAGAGCAGCGGAAGCGGGAGGAGGATTTCTACTACACCGAGGTGCAGGTGAAGGAAGAGCCCGCTCCGGAGACGGTGGCAGCCGCCAGCCCCACGTCCGTATCCTCATCCTCTCCCATCATCATCCAGCAAGCCCTGGCCAAACCGGAGGCTCTGCTGCTGGAACCGCCGGCGTTGGAGCCGGCTCTGGCCAGCAGCGCGCTCAGCCAGTCTGCACCCAGCTCCTTCTGGCACATCCAGGCCGATCACGCCTACCAGGTGAGCTCCAGCCACCCTCCTGCCCCGTTTGCAGCTCTCGGGGGCTTCAAGGGGGCTCAGGGGCTGCTGCTGAGGTTGTTTCAGAGCCAGGGGAGCTGTCGGCCTCCGCTGCTCCCCTGCAATTACCCGGCGGTGGTATGCAACACGCCCTGCTCCCGGCAGATAGAGCCCGGCAGGAATGCGGCCGTGCCGGATCCTGCACGTCCCTGCTGTTCGGGGAACCTGGAGATATGGGGTGGTGGCCTCGTGGCCGGTCCTTGTCCCATATCCCCTGCCACAGCGGCGCTCGGAGCTGCAGGGGCTGAGCGTGGGGGGACGGATCCCGAAGCTGCGTGCGTTTCCGTGCCCTGCCCGGGCACTAAACTAAAGGCAGAAAGCTCCTTGGAGCCCTACGTAAATGGGTGAAAAAAAAAAAAAAAGAAAAAAAAAGCAGGCACGTGTAGGCTGCTGCCTGTGGTTTGGCGTGAGCCCTGCAAGCAAACGCAGGAGCAAAGAGGCTCTGCCCTAGCGAAGGGGGAACGCTGCCCGTACCCTGTCCTGTGTCAGCAGGAGCCACAGGAGGGCTTGCACCAGGGATTTCCTTCCCACCCCCCAGTGCTCCCAGTTTGGCGGTGCCCCGTGCTGGTTTGCACGTGGGAACGGGACCCCCAGGGCTAATGCTGACTCCTTTTTTTCCTGCTGACTCCTTTTTTTTTCCCCCTTTCTCCCCACAGGCCTTGCCCTCCATCCAAATCCCAGTGTCCCCCCACATCTTCACCAGCATCAGCTGGGCCACCGCCACCTCGACTCTCCCGTCCCTGTCACCGGTGAGTCCTCGTCCTTTCCCCTTGTTTTTTGGGGTGCTCCTGGGCTCCCTCCTGGGTTTATAAATTCCCCTTTTCTGGCTGTCCCGTGCAGGTGAGGAGCCGGTCGCTCAGCTTCAGCGAACCCCAGCCGCCCACGCCGATGCTCAAATCCCACCTGATCGTCGCCTCGCCGCCCCGCGTGCCCCTCAGCACCAGGTGAGGGTCCCATCGGAGCAGGAGGGACGCGTTCCCACCTCACCAGCCTTTGGGGTTTTCAAGGAGAGGCTGGACGTGGTGCTTGGGGGCACGGTTTGGTGATTTACGATTCTGTGATCCTACAAAAACGATGCTCGGCAGCACTTACGGGGCTTTCCCCTGGGTATAGCGGAGACGTTACCCGAAATTTCACAGTTTGGGGTAATTTTCGGCTTCTTCCCTTGGCAGGAAAGTCCGCGGTGAAGCCAAGAAGTGCCGTAAGGTGTACGGCATCGAGCACCGGGACCAGTGGTGCACGGCTTGCCGGTGGAAAAAAGCCTGCCAACGCTTCCTGGACTGAGCCTTCCCTCCCTGCTCCTCACCGGGGAGCACCGGAGTCCCTCACTGCTGCAACCAGGGACCTTGGAGGCACCTCCTGGGACTCCAGAAGAGCCCTCCAGAGCTGCGTGTAAATTCCTCCTTCTGTATATTGTACATCAGCTGGGTTTGCTCTTTTTTTTTTTTAAAAAAAAGAAAACGTTTTCCAATTATTTTTTTTTTTAAACGTGAAGAATTATCTCCCTCTTGTACAGTCAAAACTGGGGCTGGGAGGAAGAAGCTGGTGGCTCGGCGGGCAGGGGGAGCTCCTAAAAAGGTGATCTGGGGACCAAAGAGCTTCCTGCATTTCCCAGGTCAGCACTAAAACCTCCTGAACCGCCGCGCCGGGGCCGGGGCGAGGCGTTGAGGCAGCTTTCCCTGGCTCTTGGCTCCCTAAAAAGTGCAAATCCCTCGAGTCCTTTAAGGGACGGTGTCGATAACAATGAGAGCTTTAAAAAAAATAATGCTGTTGGGCTGTTGCTAGCAGGGCAGGGATGATTTTTGGGGCAGGAGTCGTGGGTTTCCCTCCCGGGTGCCCGTGTGGATGTGGGTTTTATTCGCGTTGTGTCGCACGGGAGCTGTGCCTGTCTGCTTCCAGTTGGTTTGGAGGGAAAAAAAACCTTGTAATCAGGAAAATTATCGGGGTTTTTAAAGCAAAAGCAGCTGTTCCTTCTCATTCTAGGCTTTGTACCTCTGCTTTGCTCCGTGAAAATCTCCACCGTGGCCCTCTTTCGAAGCCAGGCTGAACAAATTTGGTCTTTTTTTAAAGAAGTTCTGGCTTCACCAGTAACAGGCAGCTGGGAGGACTGGGAAGGGCTTTCCCTCAGCATCACAGCACGGCCCCAGTTTTGGCAAACCAAAATTCGCTTCGCACCCCATCCGCAGCGGGGCAGGAATCTGGACTTTTTTTTTTTTTTTTCTTGCTGCATTTTTGATATAATTTGATATTTGCGGGTTACTCGCAGCCCATAACCCTTATCCGTCAAGCCGAGAGCGATCCCAGCACGAGGCTTGAGCCCGGGGTGATTTTAAGGGCCACGCAGAACAACTAAAATCCCCTATAAAACCAAATCGTGTGGCTCTGCCAAATTATTTCGCTCCTGGATGGACGCGAGCCCTGCTGTTGAAGGGGACAGGGGAGGCGAAGCAGGATTTGTCTATACACGTGGTACTGGTGCTTGTCAACCTTTTTTTTTTTGTAATTTTGTATATCCAAACAGAATATCATTCCAGAACCTCTCTTCTCTCCTCCTGGAGCCTGTGTGAGGCTGGGGTGATGGAAAAGCCCTTTCCTCTCCTGCTGGCATCGTCCATCCCCGGAGCGGGGGCCAACGCTTTACTTCCAACACCGGGTTTTCAGCCTCGTGCCCTGCGTCCTGGTAGCAATGCTCAAAAACTTGCACTACTCAAAAACTTGTTTTTAGCTTTGTTTTCTTTTCCAGAACGCCCCCAGGCCTTTGCTGCCAGCTGATCTTCGGGTCGCAGAGCCGGCGGGCCCCAAATTTGCCGCTGGCCGTCCCGTTTTGCCCCCGCGTTGCCCAGCGTGGTTGTCCCTTGGGAAGGGCACGGATGGGTTTTTGGTGATGCTGAAGGTTCAGGTGGGCTCTCCGTGGGGTTTTCAGAAGTGAAAAGTGCTGCTTTGGGAAGTCCCCCGCCGCACCTCGCTGCGTTTTCCCTTCCCAAATTTTAAGAGGCTTGAAGCAGCACCCGGAGCACGGACATCAAACCCCAAAAAGGGGGAATTTGTGGCTCCCTCAGCCCCCGTGCCTTCGCTCCCGCGACTCGGAGAGACCCAGAGGTTCTCCCTTCTTGCTTTCCGTGCCCTCCCTGCCCCGAAACGGAGGTGGGGGCCCTTTTTTGGGGCCCCATCACTCAGGAAACCCAAAGCAGGGTGCAGCGTCCGACAATCCGCACCAACCCCTCGCCCTTTTTCTGCTTCAGGTCGGGGTTTTTCTCGCTGCCGGGAGCCTGGGCTTGTGTAAAAAAAAAGGAAATTTTCTGCTAAAGGTGATTTTTCTAGGAAAAATGTCAGTGACTCTGGAATAAGCAGGCGTGCGTGGCGTGCTGGGTCCCCGGGTGCGACGGGGGCACGGTGGGACCCCCCAAAATTTGGGGGATGCTGCCCCTGCCACCCCCCAGCCCGTGCAGCGCCGCCTCCCCCAGGGAATAGCACTTACTGCCAGGGTTTTCCTGCACAGGAATGTTTTCGTATCAGTGTTTTATCCAGGGGGTGGGAGGCGCCTGCAGCTGATTTTCCGAAGGCTTTTGCGGTACAGACGTAACTGGACAAAATCGTCCTCTTGCTCGTGGCTCTTTCCTTTTTATTCTCTTTTATTTTAATGGCAAAACTGGTGCAGGGTTGCTTTTTTTCTTTCAGTTTGGGACTATTTCATTGTTTTTTTTTTTACACTTTAAACCAGAAAAACCTTCTTATCTTTCTGCAGCTCCCACAACGCCTGTCGGGTTGGCTGGCCTCTCATTTTTTTTCGCTTTTCCCTCCTTTCCCATCCCTTTTCTCATCATTTTTTTAACTCGCTTCCAACCAGCTCTTGACCATCTTCCTGCTCTCAACCACCTCCTCTTCAGCCCCAGCCTGGAAACTCAGCTTGGAGAGTTTTCCCTGGTCCGCCTGCCTCCCACGTGTATGTATGTATATAGGAACCTCTTAATTGGGCACTAATTGGAGGCTGCTCTCCCTCTCCAGCCCGGCCACGGTGACACCCCGCTGCTGCCGAGGGTGCTTGCACCCCGAGAGGAAAACCCCAGCACAGGGTGGCCCCGCGCTGGCACCCAGCGCCCCGTCACCATCAGGGGGTGACGTCGGGACGGGTGCCAGGCGGTGGTGGCACGGGGAAAAGGGGTTGGGGACGTTTGTCCCCGTGCTCCTGCGGGCCCCCGCTGCCCGGCCGGGCTGGGCTTGATGCCGTATCGGTGAATTTTCTTGTCTTCTTCGGAGCTTTTTTCTCGGCTGTCTTCCAAGTATTATTTTTATTGGGAAAAAAAAAATAATTAAAAAAAATAAAAAATAAAAATGTGAAATGTAATTTTTACAGCAGCAATATGAAATATATTTTATAAGAAATAAAAAGAAAAGTTGCCTGACGCCTCGCTGGCTCTGCCTCGTCCTTGGCAGCCCCGTGTCCTGGTGCTTTCTTGCCCTCCTCGTGCTCATCCCTTAATATTTCTTCCCCGTTGGCACAACCACTTCTGGCACCACTAGATAGCAGTGTCCGCCCGCCGATGGCACTGCCTCTCCCTCCTGCAGCACATGCTCTGCTTCCTTTTTTCCTCAGAGGGTGATTTTCCTCCCCAAAACCCCAAATCTGTCAAATTTCAGCCTGAAAGCTCATGGAGAGTTCGGCGCGTGCCAACCCCAGCAGGTTTTTGGGGGGCTCTGCAAGGTCTCGCAGCCCCTTGCAAGTCGCTCTGTTGACCTCAGAAGCTGCCTTGTGATGCAAAAAGCCTGGATAATTTTTTTTTTATTATTATTATTTTTATGCATGGAGGTGAGAGAGGATGTGGAAAAGGAGAAGAGGGTGGGAGGAGAGGTTGAAATTTGGAGAGAAGGGTGGGAGGTTGAAATTTGGAGAGAAGGGCTGAACGGGGGCACACCAGGTGGCGATGCCTGCCTTGCAGGGGAAAAGGAGAGGAAAAAATATAAAAAAACTGCACCTGGGAGCACCAAGGGGATGCAATTCCGAGCACTTCTGCAGGGTTTTGTGGCCCCATAGCAGGGGGATTTGGGGGACCACCGGTCCCAACTGGACACAGGCGAAACGATGGATGCCCACCGGCCAAAAACGCGGCACGAGGCCCCTCTCTTCACCTCCTCTGTGGCTTTGCAAACTGGGACCGAACTGGGGGACACTGCTGTGTCCCTCCTCCCACTTTTAACCTAGAAAAAATCCCTTTTTCCCCCCAAATAACCCCCCGCTCCATCCCTTTTTGTCCCATAGGCCACGCGTGCAGGCGTGACGCCCCCTGAAGCACCGTCACTGCCCATACCAGAGGGGATCTCTGCTGGAATCATGCACATTTCCCAAAATCTCCTTTTTTTTTCCCCTAAACCCACGCCATTTCCCAGCTGAGGGGGGCGAACCGAGCCCCCGGGGTGGGGGGCAGCGGGGACCTTGCGTTGACCCAAGTGACGGTCGCCAGTCGCACTGAGATCGTAGAAACAGTAAACTAATTTATTAATCCTTTTGCTATGTACAAGTTTAATGGAGAAATCTTTGTATGAAACAATTAAAAAGAACAGGAGGGGGTGGAGGGGGGCGAGATTTTTTTTTTTTTTCTCTTTTTTTTTTTTTTTTTTTTTTTTTTTTCCAGGGGGTTGCGTCGGGTGATTTTTTTTTTATTATTTATCATTTTTTTGGTACAAACGGCGAAAGGGGCGGCGCTGCGGGGGGAGACCCGGGCGCGGGGCACGCGGGACATGCTTCGGGCAGCAAATTAGGCAGAAAGGTCGAAGGAAAAAGGTGAGGGGGGGGGACACCCACGGCTCCGGGGGGTCACGTTGGGAGCCCCCGGGAAGGCAGCTGGGACGCGATACATGCCGGGGGGGACGCGACAAAGGACGCACGCGAGGCCGTGTTGCTGAGCAAAGAAGTCAACCCCAGAGTCCTTATCAAACCTCAAGGAAAGCGCAAAAAAAAAAAAAGAAAAAAAGGAAATAATAAATTATATAGAAAATAATTAAAAAAAAAAAAAGACCACAATTTCAGGTGTTTTCTACCCAGCACCTCCGGTGCCCTCCTGTGGGCGCACGGGGCCCGAGCCACGGTGGGATGCGACCTCTCGGGTGTCTCAGCATCCCCCAGCCAAAAAGCTGGGGATAAATCCGGATGGGGGTGTGTGTGGATAAATCCCCCCGGGCAGGGGGCAGGGGCTGAGAGGGGATGCCCAAAAACGTGAAATAATAATTTTGGAGAGGGGAACAAAACCAAAAAAAGAAAAAAAAAATATCTATTTTCCACTATTTTCCACTATTTTCCACTATTTTCCACTGCGTCCAACTTGTGGGGTGTTTCCAATGGCCGAGCGAGGTGCGAATTTTGCAAAAAAAATCCCATTTTCCTCCTTTTTTTTTTTTTTTTTTTTTTTTGTGGTCCCCCTCCCCGCCGTCCTCGCTCCCGTGTCCGGCGGTGGCCGAATCCTTCCCGTCCTGGCTTAAATTGCTACCGAGTGAAGAGCGGTCACGGGCGGGCACCCAGGTGGCTGCAACCCCAGAAGGGAGAAAAATGATTTCTGAACGCGTGCGAGTCTGAAGCGCTTTGGGGTCCGTCAGAGAGAGGTGGAGGCTGCTTGGGTGGAACAGGAGCAGGGCTAATTTTGCCTGTGCCTGGTGGTGGCGGGTGCCGGGAGGCGGTGCCGGAACGCTACAAAAAAAAAACAGAAAGAAAAGAGAAAAAAAAGAAAAAAAAGAAAAAAAAAAAAAAAGAAAAAAAAAAAAGAAAAAAAAAAGAAATGCAGCTGAGAGCGGAGCGGGAGGGGGGCCGGGATGCTCGGTCCCGGGGGCTGCGGGGCCGGGGAGAAATCCCCTAAGTTAGGGAGATGCCTCGCAGCATAAAAAGAAGAGAAAAGAAAAAAAAAGATTAAAAAAAAAAAGGGAATTAAAAATTCCCCCAAAACCTCAATTTTGGGTGTTTTGGGAGGTGGGTGGCCTCGCTGGGTGCAGGGCAGGCGCTGGGGGCTCTGAGCATCCCGACCATCCCGGCTTCTCCTCCCGCCGGCACCGCTTTTTGGGGGCTGCCCCCCCCCTCGCTGCTAGATTTGGCCAACATAAAGCTTTTGGGAGGCTTCATCTCATTTCTAAAAGCAACAGGTTTGGCTCTTTTTTAATTTTTTTCCCGCTTTTTGGGGGCTGAAATGTTCTGTGTACCTATTTGGTGATGGGGACAAAACCCTTTCGCCCGTCACCCCGGTGTGACCCATGGCAAAGGGACTTTCCTGGGGCTGTCACCGAGCCTTGGACATGCAGCCTCGCCTCGTGGCTTGGTCTTTTCAAGCCGTTTTTAATTATTTTCCCCCTCTATTTTTAATTTTGCACCCTTGGGAATGGGGAACGCAGCGCTGGAGCATCCCCACCCTGATCCAGCGTCGCCATTCGGCGGGGCGAAAACAGCGTTTATTGGGCAAAACCCGACCACTAGGAAAAAAAAAACAACACAAAAAACACAGAGAAAAAAAAAATAGCAAAGAAATAAAAGGGTCTGGGGATGGGTGGGGTCTTTTGGGGCAAAACTTATGGTATTTTGGGAGGGGGGTGCAAAAATGAAAATAAAGCAGCCATCGCTTCCTGGAGAAGACCGGGCGCACGCGGGGCCGGCTCGCGATTCCTAACGGAGGTTTTTGGGGCTTGGGGTGGGGTGGGGTGGGGTAGGGGGGGCAATTTGGGGCTTGGGTTGACTTTTTTGGCCATGGCAGATCCACCTCCAAATGGGTGCCGCGGGGCCGGCTAGATCTCGTTGTGCTCGCTGAGGTCTCCGGCCGTGTCGTACTCACTGGAGCGGGGCGACATGCCCAGGTACTGCTTCAGGAACTCGCTAAACCTCTTCTGGTTGTTCCACTTCCTCGCCGATTTGCGCACCCCGATGAAGCCCCCGTACCGCTTCTGCACCCCTCGGGCCGCCGGCCACGAGCCCCTCGTCCCCCTTGGGAAGCCACCGCCGAGCCGCCGGGAAATGTCCTCGTCCCGCGACGGGAAAGCGCCCGGCGCCGTCCCCGCGCCTCCGTCTTCGGCGTCCCGCCGCCGGAGCAGCTCGCTTACCTGCAGCGGGCTCGCCGCCTCCGCCGGCCCCACGGCCCCAAAAACGCCGGCCCCGGTAGCCCCCGGCCGTGGGGAGGCTCGGATGGAGGCGGCGCACATCTCCCAGGTGGCCCGCGGCACGGCCTCGCCTTCGCACTCCAGGATGCAGACCTGCGCGGGGAGACACGGGGATGGGTTTGGGGTCAGAAAGCCCGGAAGGGTTTGGGTTGGAAGGGAGCTTAAGGGGCAACAAATTCCAGCAGCTATGGGGGAACTCACAGATCCTCAAGGGATTTCCTGATATCTACCCAAAACCCACCCTCTTTCAGCCTAAAACCATCACCCCTTGGGTCCTTGGGCATCCCCCCATCCATCCTACTGGAAGACACCCCAGAAAATCACCAGCAGCTCATCAACGCTTGCAAGCCATCACTCAGTCCTAAATTTAGGGTTTTAGCCAACCCCAGGCATCCCAAACCTGATTATCCGCCCCCTTTCCCCACTTCCCCACTGGACCCCAAGCTCCGGTCCCGTCCCGTCCCCATCTACTCCACCCTTGCCCGTGGCCATGTCAAGGGAGGCGGCCCCAAAAACCTCCTAAAAGCCAAGAGGAGCCAGACATCTCCCTGCAGCCAGCTCTCGGGGTGGCTAAGCATGACTTCCCCTCCATAAATCCACGCTGGCTGCTCCCGATGACCTTCGTGTGTCTGGAAATGCTTTCCAAGATGACGTTTGGGACTGAGGTGAGGACAAACCAGCCTCAGCCCCAAATCCTCCTTCGTGCCTTCTTTCCCAAAAAGAGACAATGCCTTCCCCGTGTCCCCAGGAGCCTGTCCTGCTCACCACATCCCTCCAAAGGCCATCAAGACGTGGCCTTCAGGCCATCAAGAGGGACCTCACCACGCCATCAGACCCAAGGGTGCGTCCCACCGTGGCCGGGTCTCATCCCCTTCCAAGGGTCCACCAAGACAGGGTGCAGAGCCAGCTGGGGAAAAGCATCCAGGAAAAAATATCCAGGAGAAGACCCCAAATCAATCAATATCCAGAGAATTTGGGGCTGGAGGGCACGGAAGGAAGGGCTCGTCTTCCTTGGCCTCGTCTTTCCAGCCCAAGTTGGCTTCATGGCGGGCTCTTCCAAACGCTAAACACCAACACGAGGGGGCCTCTGGCTAAAACGTGGTGGTGTGCGTCTCAAAGCTTCCAGAAATGGTCATCTGCAAGGCAAAAAACCCTTGCAGAACCGCTCTTTGCCATGGGATCGTTGACTTTGCTGGGTGGGAGGTGCCACAGGTCCCCAAGTGGTGTACCACGTGGAGCTCAAGCACGTGGCTCCGCAGCAACTCGCCATTTCCAGGTCTTTTTCCATGACAAAGAGAAAAAAAAAAAGGAAAAAAAAAGGTCTGGGATCTCCAGACCTTTGTCACCGCCTCCTGATGATGCTCGGTGTCCCGACCGTGCCCCAGATGGGGATGAAGGCTGAAGGACGTCGCATGCACGTAGCAGCTCCAGCTGATGGGCTTGGAGAGGAATCCCCCAGGACGTCCAGCTGGAGGTCATCGGTGTCCCACCACCCATCCACGACTGCAGCCCCGTGGGCACCTTGGGGTCCTCAGCCCTCGTGCTGCTGCCTTAATTCACGTGGGAATGGCTTCCTGCCACCTCGTGGGGTTTTGGAAGTCCTCCAAGCGAGCGCTGACCGATGCTCCTCCGTGTCCAGAGGCAAAAAAATATCTGGGGAGGCCGCCTCCCACCTTGGGTTGGCATTTACGGTGTCACCGTGGGTTGGCACATCCCTAGGTGGCATCTTGAAGGCCAGTTCCACCAGCTGCCCTGCCCCAAAGTAGCCCCCATGTCCCCAAAGTGGCCCCAAGACATCTCCAAGGAGTCTCTGAGGTGGCCTTGAGGTGTATCCGAGGTGGCCGTGGTGGCCCTGAGGTGGACCTCGTGTCCCCAAGGTGTCCCTAGGGTGGTTCCCAGGTGGTCCTGGTAGACCCCAAGTGGCTCTGGTGGCCCCAAAGTGGCCCCGGTGGCCCCAAGGTGGCCCCAAGACATCTTCAAGGAGTCCCTGGTGACCTCGAGACGTCTCCAAGGTGGCCTTGAGGCATATCTGAGGTGGCCCCGAGATAGCCCTCGTGTCCCCTTATTGTCCCCTATGTCCCCTCATTGTCCCCAAGATGTCCCAAACCACCCCATTTCCCCCTCACCCCACTGATCCCCAGCGCCAGGGAAGACAGAGCAGGAGGGGGGAGCCCCTTTCCAAAAAAAAACACCATTCTGGACCCAAATCACCGCGATCACGCCCCAAATCTTGCCTCTACCGGGACCGAGCAATGGGGTGGCTGCGGCATCTCCACCGAGCCTCAGGTCCCTGCTTTTTTTGGGGTCCATTTCCCACCTTTGGGGGCTTCCCCCGTGGTTTATCGGTGCGGAGAGGAGAGCGGCAGCGAGGAGGCTCCCGATTTTTCCCCGTGGGCGGAGGGGGAACGGGGAGGGAAGCCAAAAAATCTCCTGGCCAGAGCCCGGCCACGGCTCAGCGGAGGGGAAAGGGAAGCGTCACGGGTAGGGACGGGCTGATTCATCCCTTTGCAGCGGGATATTTTCGCCCTCGCCGCGTCTCCCCCGGGCTCGACAGCCCCTGATTTTGGCTGCCCCCCCTGGAATATCACAGCCCAGCTTGTATCTGGTCCTGCTGGGGCTCAGAGGAGGTTTTTTGGGGGCTTTTTGGGTGCTGGTGCCTCCGGAAGGGTGCGTGGTGGTGATGCCGTGAGCCATTAGGGCAGGAAAGCTGGGGATGAGGGGGGGTTTGGACCCTCCCCAAAACCCGTGGCCATCAGAGCTTTGGGGCCAGCACTGCCCCATCCCTTGGGACCATTTAATAAAATCCCGTAGGCGCTGGCCACAGCATTTTGGGGTGCCCAAGGGAAGGGACAACACCACCACCACCCTCATCGCTCATCCTCCCCACCCACCCCACGAACCCGGCGCCCTCCCCAAGGACCCCAAACCCGAAACCCGGTACGGGGGGCACTTACGAGGACGTCGAAGCTGTCCCTGTAGAGGTGGCGGTCGCAGCGCAGGCAGTCCCCCCGGCAGTCCCCCCGCGCCCGGGCGAAGAGGCAGAGCAGCAGCAGATCCCAAAACACGGCCCTCATGGTGCCAAAAAGCAGCAGCGGCTGCGGCCCGGAGGAGACAAAACCCCGTCAAACCCCGGCACGCCACCTCCTAAAGGGGTAAGGAACAACGCTCAGCCCTCCCCAAAATGATTTATTTATTTTTTTTTATTTTTTTTTTAGGGGAAATGATCCTCTCCTTCCCCCCCCCCCTGCCCAGCTTCGTTTCTCCAGGCTATCCCATGTCAGGGCTTATTTTAGCGCCGGGACGTGACGGGGAGGCACGGCGGGGATGTCCCCGAGCAGGACACCGCCGGGGCTGGGTAAAGGGGAGCCCCCCGCCTGCCTTTCCCTATCCCATTTCCCCCTCCCCAACCATTTCCGAGGGGGCATTTCGGGTGTTGACCCCCCCCACGTCCCTATCCCGGGAGGTCCCGATGCGCATCGATGTGCGCATCGGTGGCACGTGGCGGCGAAGCGACGTGGCCGTGGCCGAGCAGCAAACATTTTCCTCCGGGATCGGGATGATTTCGCCCCTATGTGTCCCCACAGCCTTCTGGTCCTCAAAAAAAAAATAATTTCCCAGCTTTTCACAAATTTCTGATGGGGTCCAAAACCCACGTGCCCGGCGGCTTCGCCCCGGCGCGGGATGCTCGCAGGCGAGGAAAACCCCGGTGGCGGCGGCGGGGGCTTCGCAGCCCATCCTCCTTTATCATTTTGGGCCACTTTTGGGGTTTTTGAGGATGGGCTCAGGGCTCGTTCCCTTTTGATTTCCCAGCGAGCTGGGGAAATCTTGCAACGGGAGCGGGACCGGTGTCACGGTCACCTTCCAGCTGGGTGACACCGAGCCTCGCCGAGCCGCCGCTTCTTGGCGTTTGCCGGAGGGAAAGCTGATAAGGGGCAGGAATTAAGGTTTAATCTTCGCCCAGCCTCATTAAAACTGGCTGCCGGAGTGAGTCAGAGGATTGGCAGGATGCTCCCGGGAGAGGGCGAGCCCTCCCTCACCCCCCGAAAATTTCGTGGGGGCTGCAAACCCCATCCACGTCCCCAAAGGGGGTTTTTGGATGACCCCAGGAGGGCAAATCTGGCCGGGGTAGGCTCAGGGATTAAAGCCCGGCTGCTTAATGGGAAGATGCTATAGGGTGGGCACGCTGCGAGCCCCCCAAAAATAAAGAAAAAGAAGAAAATGAAGAAAATCAACGCTCTCCACCACGCAGCGGTGCTCAGCCAAACCCCAAAAGGCATCCAGCCCACGGGAAGCGCTCCTGGGCGCACCCGAATTGTGCCTGGATGGTTTTTTGGGGGGGCTGGAGGGAGGCGACATCCCCCGAAAAACGTCGCGGTGAGCCCCGCCGCTCCGGCAGCCCCCCGGGGTTGACTTCTCCTCATTAATATCGGTTTAAAAAAAAAAAAGAAGAAGAAAAAGGAGAGATTTGCTGGCAAAGCAGCCTGCGGTCCTGATAACAGCGGGGTCTGGCCATCCATCAAGGCGGGGATTTATTTATGGCTCCAGGTGGGAGGGCGAGGGGGGGGGCGCCGAGGTTTGGAGGGGTGAATTTCGGGGGGCGGCGGACGGGACGGAGCCAGTGGGACGTCAAGAACCCGCGAGGAGAGGAGGAAAATTGGGAAGCGGGCGCAAGAAGGGAGGCGAGGAGCTTTTGGGGTGAAAAGCTGCCGGAATGGGGCTGCTCGGGGGGGATGCTGCGTCCTCATCCCCGGGGGAATCCTAATGATGGTCCCGGCACCCCGACGCATCCGGAGGTGTAAATGCGGGGATGTTTTGGGGTCAGGATCAATCCTGCTGTATGGGGACAAGCTCCAAGCCTGGAGCCGACCCTAATTGTGTCTTTTTTTGTCTATTTTCTCCTAAACCTCACTCTTTCAGCCCAAATCAAGGCCTGACCCGGCGGGCAGGGAGATGTGACCGGGTTGGATGCGCATGGAAAGGGTCCGGCTGCCTCCAACCGAGCCTTGTCCAACAGTGGCCCCCACCGGCACCGGCTAAAACCCTAAAACGCTTCCCCTCCCGGCTCCTCCAGCATTAAAAAAACACAAAGTTGCCATCAGGAAAAAAATAAAAATTAAAAAAAAATTAAAAAAAGGAAAAAGAAACCAAGGGGAGCGACCGAAACCTTTGTGCCGGCGGCCGGGGGGCTCGGGGAGATGCTGGGGGGATTTTTTTTTTTTGGGGTGGGGGGGATTTGAGGCTGCCTCCCCCCTTCCCCTGCTTCCCGGGAGCCGGGCGGAAAAAATGGGCAAAAAAAATCGAAAAAAGAGCTCTTCCTTTTGTTGAGCCCCTCTCCAGCAGGTAATTGGCCATAATTGGCCCAAATTGCACAGGCTGCGGCGAGGCGAGCGGCGCAGATGGGGCAGCGAATTTCACGACCGTTCACCGTGGGGGGGGGCTGAAAGAGGGAAAAAAATAGGGAAAAGGAGCAAAAAAATTAAAAAAAAAATACATTTTTTTAATTTTCTTCCTTTTTGTGCTCTGTCAAGAAGGGGAAAGGTGCCAGGAGTCCCCCGGCGCATCCCGAGGTGCCCAAGTTGCGAAGTTCCCTTCCCCTTTTTTGTCCTGGATATTAAAAAAAAATTAAAAATATATAAAAAAAGGGGGGGGGCAGAGACGCCGGGAGGGGAAATTTGCGGTGTGGAGGCTCCGCAGCTTCTCCCCGCAGGCCGTCGGGGACGGAGGCACCAAGAAGGGGGGGATTTGGGGTTCAAAAAGCCCCAAAAAGCCTTCGCCTCTCACCTGCCGCGCCCGCGGCTTCGCGCCGGCTCCTGTTGCGTCCCTGGGCGGTTTGGGTCCAAAAAGGGTAAATTTGGGGGCAGGTGAAACTTTATTTTATTTTTTTGGGCACGTGCAAGCCGAGAGATTTCCCTATTTGGGGGCAGAAATCCCCCTTTAACCCTCGGCGGGGAGAGAGAGGAACGTCGCCCGAAGGCATCCCGAAAACCCCGAAAAGACGGATTGCAAAAAAAGCCAAAAACCCCAAAAACGAAGAAAATGAAGAAAAATCCCGACCCCACAAGAGGATGGGAAGGGGAAGGAGATCTCCTACCTGCGGGTGCGCTGTCAGCCGCCGGCTCCTCAGCTCCGTGATTCCTCCGGTGCCGGTGGCCCCGTGGTATTTATAACGGTGTGCGCACACCCGGCCCTATAAACCTCCCTCCCCGTCCTAACACGTGCGCTGCTGAGCCCACCCCCGGGGGGCTGGGGAATAGGATTTGGGTCCCCCCCTCACTCCCTCCCCATCCTTTTTGGGGACTTCGCTGTCCCCATCCTACAAAGCCCTCGTTGTCCCGGTGTCCGGCATCGTTGTGGGATTTTATTTTTTTAGGGGGGGGGGAATCCCCTAAATCGCCACCCAGGAGGGGATTAGGGGGGAAAAGGGGGCACCCCCCCTATAAAAAGACCCGCAGAGAGGGGGTGGATTTGGGGCCGGCAGCCTGAACCCCAGCGCGGTGTCCCCCAGCACCCCGTGGGCCAGGAGGATGGGGGGGTTATGGGGTTGGGGTTGGGGTTTGGATTTGGGATGCCCAAAGGGGTTTTAGGGGCGCCCAGCTCCCCAAATCCAGCCCCATGAGCACTGGGGGGCACCCACCTCCACCCCCCAACCTCATTTGGGGCAGAATGGGTTAAAAATGCTTCGTTTCCACCAGGGACTCTACAAATTTTCACGGTGCAGCCCCAGGCTGGGGAGGGGGCTCCCCCCGACCCCAAAACAGAGGATCAGGATTTTGGGGGGCAGGATTGGGATATGGGATCAGGACTGCGGTTTGGGGGCAGGATCGGGGTTTTGAGGCAGGATTTAGGGGCAAGAATTGGGATTTGGGGGCAAGATCAGGATTTGGGGGGCAGGATTGGGATATGGGATCAGGACCGGGATTTGGGGGCAGGACCGGGATTTGGGGGCAGGATCCGGTTGTGGGGGGGCGGGGGTCCTGGCTCGGTGGGGGAAAATTAAAAAAAACTTTTAATTGGGAGGTGCTGGAAAGGAAGAGGGACCCCCGGCCCTACCCGAAAATAGGGCCGAGAATAGGGCCGAGCCCCGGGGGCGCACGCAGGGCAGGGTCGGGATTTGGGGTCAGGATTGGGTTTTTGGGGTCAAGATCTGGGTTTCAGGGCAGGGGCAAGGTTTAGGAGCAGGATGGCTTTTTGGGGTAGGATCAGGATTTTAGAGCAGGTTTGGGATTTTGGGGCAGGACTGGGGTTTGGGGGCAGGACTGGGGTTTAAGGGCAGGATCAGGATTTGAGGGCAGGATTAGGATTTTGGGGTATTTTCATGATGTTGGGGCAGGGTGGGATTTGGGGACAGGATCAGGATTTTGGGACAGGATTGGGATTTGTGGTCAGAATTAGGACTTCAGAGCAGGGTTAGGATTTTGGAGCAAGATTGGGATTTGGGGGCAGAATTGGGATTTTGGGGCAGAATTGGGATTTTGGGGCAGAATTGGGATTTGGGGGCAGGATTGGGTTTTGAAGTCAGGATAATGTCAGTCCCTGCGCTGCCAGCTCCGGACCTTTCCAACCCAAATCAGCAGCGCCCCAAATTGCGCCCCAGGTGACATCCCAAATCGCCCCTCTGGGATCTCTGAGCATCTTTCGTCACCCCAAATATCCTTCGTCACCCCAAAAGTCCTTCACCACCCCAAATATCCTTCACCACCCCAAAAATCCTTCTCCACCCCAAATATCCTTCATCACCCCAAATACCCGTTACCACCCCAAAAATCCTTCTCCACCCCAAAAATCCTTCACCACCCCGAGCATCCCTCGCTGCCCCCACATCCCAATCCCAAAATCTGCAGCACCGTGGCTCGGAAATCCCCCAAAACAACTCCCCGGGAAGGGCTGGAGGTCAGACCCAGACGGCTCCAAAAGGGCGAGCACGTTGCGCGTCCTCGGCCCCATGGGCATCAAAACCCTAAAAAATCCATAAAAATCCCCAAAAATCTATAAAAATCCCCCCAAAACCTATAAAAAACCCCCAAACCTATAAAAATCCTCAAAAATCTATACAAATCCCCCAAAAAGCGGTGGTGCTGCCCCGGGGTGAAGCAATTCCCAGGCTGGAGGTGGGGAAAAAAGGACAAAAAAGGGGATTTTTGATTTTTGATTTTTTTGGGGTTTGCCTTTAGGGGCACGTCGGTTTTCCGCGGGTCGTGTGACGTTGTCTGAGGTCCCGGTA